TGGAAAACATTCCAGAAGCAATTTGGTCCTTAAACACCATATGGAGAAGTAACTAATCCTATACACAACTAGATGATTCAGTGGGATAATCCACAGAAGAATTTCCATATGGCATTCTCAGTGTTCTTCAACACATCCTTTTCTATCTCCAGTCCATGCTTATGAAATGCTGGCAGATGCACTGCTGCTACAGAAGCCTGAGTTGAAAAGCAAAATGAATGAATATCCATTTTATCTGTATCCAAAGACACAGATGACACATGGATGTGTCATCACCAGCTAAAGGCTGTTATTTGTCCCCTTGGATGGTGAGCCAAGGCCAGCAAGAAGATAGAATATCAACTGGCATAAGAACAGCCCATCTCTGCTATGGTACAGGTGTGCCAGGCTTGAGTTTAGATTCAAATTTAGATAATTAGGATGATTGAAGGATTTGACTGGACTGAACACGATTCCATTTGAAACACTCTTTTCCCACATTCCCAAACTCCAGGATCTGCCAGTGTAATCTCCCTCATTTCCAACTTCTCAAACTGAAAATCAGCTTCTTTTTTTATTTTCTATCAATCCCTCAATGTCATTCTAGAAGTAATTTTGAAATTATCTGTCCAATTATAGGGTCTTTTACATGAAGGTACTCCAGACACTTTCTAGCAACCCTGGCCCCCATGCAGTGGTCTTGAAGGCAACAAATTAATACAGACCCATTAATACATGTTTCCATTATAAAGAGTAGACAGCACAGAGACTGCAGAGCATACAAAGTAGCATAGAGAAATAAAAGCATCTGACCAAATAGCAGACATGTATCTTAGTGATTTCTTTGGGCATTATTTTTAGCATCACCTGATTTAGCATGGAAGGACATAGTAATTACACTTCACTGATGAAGTTCTTCTCTGTTAAAGAGAATGAAATGGTCTTGATGCTACCATCAGTGCACAAGCTAGTTTTAAACTACTCATTTCATAAGTTCTGTTACCAAGAAGTGTATTTTACTTCACTCAGCATTCTCATTTGAAGAGAAGCAGAAATGGCTCTAACCCTGTAACTGATTTCAGGAGCTTAAAATTTAGACTGACAGTAACTTTAGTTTCAGGTGGTTTGCTCTGCTGAGAAAAGTTATGCAATGTGAAGCAGAGACAGATTTCTTATAGTACCTTTATGAACATCGAAACTGTTTCTGAGCAAACATGAAATCCATTTCAAATTCCTTTCTGAAACAATAGTATAGTTTCTTATGCTCACTGATGATGACACAATCCTATTTACTCCTTTATTACCTTCACAGCAAATTTTAATTAATTATATATTCTTCAATTATTTAATAACTTTCAGTTGACTATCATTCCAGACTTGATGTATGCAACATTAACTATTTGCCTATGGCAAGATTTTATGAACTCTAATATGCACCACATGTTCAGCTTGCTCAAAATTAATTGCAGACATTGTACTTGGCATTAATGTACATCTTTAATTGGCTTTAATTTCACATCTGTGTTGCTTTATATACAGCATTCTTTATCAGCATAAATGCACACTGCTTCTGATGTGTGTAATAGCAGCCATCAAACCCACCTTTTGTATTAACATTTTTCCTTTTAATATAAACCTATTTTCCGGGTTAAAAAAATCAAAACAAAACAAAAAAAAAAGTTATTTGAAAATAATCTTTCCTATTCATATTAATTATTTGGAAAGTCAGGTGGAAAATGCTGGCTGAGATCTAACAGAGACGATAAAAAGTCGCTAAGCTTTGCCTGAACAAGAAGGGCTGCCTGTTTAAGAAAAACATCTCTTTGAAAGAGACTTTGTTGTGGAAATCCAAGCTTAGCCCGAAGAAACAGGCAACAGCCTCACTTCCTAGCTAGCAGCTTGTTAGGGACAGCCCCAGGGCTGCTCCCACGGTTCCTCTCCGTTTGCCCGGAGACACACCTGAGGCAGCTGTAAAGCCCTGCCTTGGGTCCAGTCTGGAGATGAAACCGAACAAGCCCCAGCACAGGAAAACCACTCAGCTCCCGCTAGGAGCCTGGCATTGGCTTATCATGCAAGTATCTAGTTGTTGATACACAGATTAGGCAAATTAATGCTAATTAGGGTAAGTTCACAAGGGTTGTAAGCACCTTTCCAATTGCAAGGTGTAGATATCCTGAGAATTACTGCAAAGCAACGCTGCACATCTCAAACGAGATACAAAAATACAGGAGACTCTCTTCGATCCACAAAGCGCTCTGCTGAAACACACACAGATTTGCCACACTGACAATTTGGATTCAAGAAAAATGTGGCATCATTTTACTTTCTGAGGGAATCCTGATCATGTCAGAGCTCTTTCAGTAGAATGTGGTTGTGGACCAGTAACTCAGACAGTGACTACCAGAATCCTCACCTATTGCTGAGGGAGACTTCAACATAAATTATGGAGTAACATTCAGCAATTTTTTGGATAAGAAGGGACGATCAAATGCTACTCAGCACAAAATACAATGAACTAATTATTCAAGGTAATACCAAAAGTGTAGCTGAATGAGCAGACATTATTATATTCTAGCCAACAGGAAATACAGAATACAGAATAAAGTATTCCTTTTCCCTTAGCAGTTGACAAGAGCAGCAAGAACCAAGATAACACTTGAAAAACTATTTCTGTCTTACCACCAGACTTTAAAATTATGCTGTCAGCATACTTGTAGCAAACTGCTTTACACTGAGGTATTTAATTATTTCAAGTATCACAATTCCACTTCTCATTCTTAAATACTGGGTCAGACTCAATTTCAAATGGATGCTGCTTTGAAAAGGCCGATGCACATGTTTTAAGTGGAAAATAGTAGCCTGCAGATTCAGCACCCAAACTCTCAAGGACAAAGGTCTTTGCTTTCTAGAACAATTAGTTTAAACTTCATATCTCCCTTACAGAAAGCCAAATTTTAGAAGCTTATATTATTTCAAAGTTCAGTTTGCTGCTTTAAAGTGAAGGAAATACTTTCAGTGGTCTCAAATATTCCATCTGGAACTGAAGAGGTGACTTGGTGTGACTACGAACGACCTTTGGATTGTCAGACCCACCCGCATCTTCTCCCTGCCTGTTTGCTTGGGGGACAAATTATGCTGCTAATGACCGGGCACATAAAGGGCACTCAGGGGAAGCGGGATGCACATGAGTTCGCCCTCATCCAAAATCAAGCCAGATCAAACCATTTAGCATTACTGCTAATTTAGAATGCATCTAAACTGTTCAGGCCCCCGATATTTTCAGAGAATCTAAACCAGTCCACAAATTCACACATTCACAAATTCAGCCATCGTGCTCATTTTCCTTTGGGATCTGCTGCCGCCTCGTGGGCTCGCCGTGAATTTGAAGTCCCAAAATAGAAAATCAGCAGAAGTTAACCTTGGATTGCGGGGCGAAAGCCCAGATATTTAACTAACATGTAACCTCACTTACACACCAGCATCATTTCTGTCCTGGTGTGAAAAGATTTTTGTGCAATCAGGTTACAGTTGAGACTTCACTTTCCTGAATTCACAGTTATAGCAATGAAAGGCTTCAAATTAAAATACAACTAACTGTACTGTTATTTTTTACAGCTTTGGTCAACAAAGAAGTAATACACTTTAACCACTCTATAGTGATGTAGAGAGAGAGAAAACTTTTTCAGCTTATTGGAGTGTTCTCCTGTATTTCATTGGTTTGGTTTTTTGACCATTTATAACTTGATATTGGAATTAAAGGGTTTCTACAGATTGTCCAGGCTATGTAAGACCATGGAGTCATTAATAGCTTGGTAGCTTGTCTTCGGAGAAGGGGGTCGCTGGAATATTAGATTGGAAAAAAGGAAAAGCAGTTTGTGGGACACTGAATTCCATGGATTCTTTAAAATTTTCCTGTTTTACTATTGCTGGAAAATCTGATAGTGGAATGCAAAGGTGCTCATCCAAAAAGCCTGGAGTTGTCAGAAGTTGATCCATTCACCTTGGAAGGACCAAGGCAAAATGGTTGCATGAGCAGTAACTTAAATTCATTTTAACTTCATTGGATAGCTTACATTTCAATTCCCTTTAATTCTTATTAAAAGAAAAAAAAAAGGTGGGGGGAGTAGCCTAATCTCTGCATGGAAAATAAACTTCAGTGGTGGCCCTACTGTACAGAAGTTTCTTCAGTTACAGACTTTAATTGTACATCTTGTGGACTGAATCTGACACCGATGATGGATTAGCACCATGGTGCAGCCACAGTAGCCTCCTCACCTCTGTCCTCCCAGCCCAGGGGTCATCCCCCTTCCTAGCCCGTGCTTGGGGCCAGTGAGACCACTTCTCCCTCACAGTCACTGCATACACAAAGTAATTTTAAGCAGAAGACAAGGCTATAAATTTGCCTTACAATCATAGAATCACAGAATGGTTTGAGTTGGAAAGGACCTTAGTGTTGTTCCAAAGCCCTTGCCACAGGCAGGGACACCTTTCACTAGACCAGGTGCTCAGAGGCCCATTCAGCCTGCCCTTGAACGCTGCCAGGGATAGAGCATCCACAGCTCCTCTGGGCAACCTGCGCCAGTAATGCACTACCCTCTGAGTAAAGAATTTCTTCCTAGTATCTAATCTAAATATCTCCTCTTTCAGTTATAAATTACTCTGCTTTGTCCTGTCACTATTTGCCTGAATAAGAAGTCACTCTCCCGTCTCTTCATAACCCCCTTTAATACTGTAAGGCTTCAACCAATGCTTTAAAAGTGATGTTTAGAATTATGCTAATAATTGAAGTACCATATCAAAATAGAAATAAACTAATTCAACCGAGTTTGTGCCTCCTTCTCTTCTTCTATCTTTAGTCCCCTTCTCAGACCGAGCCCGAGCGCTCCCTCCGGGCACGGCCCTGCCGCTCCATGAGCCGGAGGAGGAGGAGGAGTAGGAGGAGGAGGGGGATCCAGCTTGGGCGCGACGGGCGGCGGCACGGGGCTGACGGGAGGGGGCGCTGCCGGCGGCAGATCCCGCCCGTCCGTCCGTCCGTCCGTGCGTCCGTGCGGCGGCCGGGGGGCGCGGGGCGGGGTCGACGCGGGTTCGAGACCCGGCCATGGCGGCGGCGGCCGCTCGGTGGCCCTGGGCCCTGCTGTGCCTGGCGGCGGCCCCGCTGTTGTGCCCCGCGGCGGCCGGTGAGTAGCGACCGCGGAGGAGGGAGGGGGGGAGGCGGCGCCGCGGGTCCCGCTCTACAACATGGCGCAGGGGCGGTGTTGCCCGCAGGGATGCGGCGCCGCGGGACTCTCCTGTCCGGCCGCTGTCGGGGCGGGATGAGGGAGACGGGGAAGAGGGGGGACGCCGTCGCGCACCAGCTCCGCGCCCGGGAAGCGGCAGCGGCGCCGTCCCGGTGCCGGTCCGGGCTGGTGCCTGCGCCGGCTCCCCGGGGATGGAGAGCGCCCGCCGGAATCGCTGCGGCCAGGACCGGAGCAGGGGAGAGGTGCTTCCATAGCCTACACAGCGGCCGGATCTCCGGCATCCCTCCGGGCAGCGTGACGGGCACGGACCTCGTCGTCTGCCTCAGCGGGTTCCGTGCCTCGGGGCCGGGATGTGTGCCTTCGGCTGTCTGCGGATGCAGACATCCCTCCGCTGCCTGCGGATGAATTCCCAGGATTGTGGCTTGAAATGGTCCAGATGGGCAAAACCTGACGCCTGGGTTGCCATATGCAGTCTCAGAACAGGCTGTGTGTTCCAGGGCCCCTATGCCTTGTTTTCAGTAGTAGTATCGAACAAGGTATCGAGTATTTTAAAAAGTGGGTGCAAGACGTTTAATAAAGAGAAGGATAGCGGTAAAATAGCTCCCCACATTGCAGATGTCTTGGCAACGTGTGCTTGCAGCCCAGAATTCCAGTCATGTCCAGGTTTCCCAGAGGATGGATGGATGCTCAATTCCTGGATATGTTCAAACCAGGCTGCATGGAGCTCTAAGAAGTTTGGTCTAGTGGAACGACTTGGAGCTAGCTGATCTTTAAGGTCTCTTCCAACCCAAACCATGCTAGGAATCTGTGTGTCTGTAACTTCCTGACAGGACCACAAAAGAGTGATGGAAAAAGAAGGCAGCTTAAGACAGATACTGGAAAACACCTTTTAATGCATAGATGACATTGCTGTCATAGGAATGGAAACTACGAAACATGTAATACTTTAAATCAGAAGACTGCAGTCACTAAGGCATTTATGGGCAGTTCATTGCTGTTCTGTAGTTTTGGTTTCTAGTGAGTCTTAGTTCTAGGAGGGAGACAGCAAAAAGCTAGTGGAATGACATGTGATGTACTCTGGCCCAGCTTTCCGTTGATAAACCTACGGATACTGCAAGGAATTAATGCCCAAGTTCCTTCTTGATGGTTCAGTCAAAATCTGTTTGGTATGGTGTTGTGAAAATGACTTTTTTTGTTGTTGTTGTACCAGTGTGATACATAGTTCAGATGCATCTCAGCAGAAATCTGTAATCATTAAATGATACTGTGTGTAAAGATGTGGGTGGAAGTAAAAGTTTTGAAGGACACCTCTGTTCTCTAAAACACTGGTCCAAAAACAGGAAAGTGAGGATGAAAATGGGTATTAAAGCACTGTTCAATTCATTTTATATTTGCCAAGCTTAACTATGAATGAACAAAATGTTTGAATGGTAGAGGGTACAAAGCACAGCAGAGAATAATGCTAAAAATGCTGCTTTAAGCTTCAGTCTTTTGTGACTTCTCAGTGGTTCAGTTGTTTTGTTGGGGTTTTTTAAACTCTTGATGTGTTCATATCTGTGTTTGCTCTATGACTTCCATCCAGTCTTAATTATCCATCACTAGTGAAACAATCTACGGTTTTGTTCCAAGGTTTTTAGAACAGAATTCAATGAACAACTTTGTGAAAAGAGACCCCTGGTCTGACTTCCTTTACCACCTGTTCTTAACTTTTCAGATTCTGTGAGATGATTCAATTTACAAAGGCACATAATCTCTCTACAGAGATTTCTGACTGTTTTTTGTTTACTTTTTCATATTTATTCTTTTTTAAGTTTTCCCTGAGTTAATAAATTGAATTGTCTCATGAAGAAATTTGCCATGTGCCAAGCTAGTAGTGCAAGTTTAGTAGCAGAAATATGACTAGAGGCAGAAAGGGAGATCTCATTTTGGTGACAGTAAGTGTTCAGGGGTAACTGTGAAACTTCTTGTAAGGATCTTCAGCATTTTCAGAACAAAACATATTCATTTTTTGCCTTTTGGAAAGGAGCGTTTCTCACAGTCATTTGTGAGCCACAAGATTGTCCTGATAGAACATCAAGTGTGTACTTGTGTTCAGAAGTGATGGTTAAGTGTTTCATATCTTTTAAATATCTTTTTCCCTCTCCCTGCTTTTCCATAGGCTTGTCTTGTTGTTACCATGCAAAGGACAATTTAATGTGCCGTGATGTCTGTGAACAGGTAAGCTTGTTTTAAATTTAATTCCATCAGAGTTGAAATTGTCCCTTTAGACAGTGATGTAGCAACATTAAGTTTGTAAGATAATGATCCTCTGTCTGGAGCGTATGTGTGAGTTGTGAGATGTAATGGTATCAAAATGAGAACTTGGAAATTTTAGAACCATTGTCCTTTTTCCTTTTGTAGTGAAAAATGGGTTCTGCTGAAATTGAGGAGAAATAGAAATACCAACCTGAGGCCACAATTTGGTCAAAAAGTGATAAGCACATTGGGAAATGAGAGGTCTGAAGGTATTTTACAGAGTTTATGAATCTTACGTGTTTCTAAGTTGTGGGGAGTTCAAACTGAAGAGCAAGATGCTGGTATTATTCTTTCTTCCTTCAGGTTCTTGTTTGTCCATTAACCATCTTGTTATGATGTATGGTTTTGTGAATGCAGCAAAAATCTGCTTACTCACTTTACTCATAACGCTTTATTTCATAATGTTTGTTCTGAATTCAAGCTTGAAAAGTATTTTTCCATAACTTATATTTAGATTTGTACCTGTGGGTAGTAATTAATGCAGCTTTGTGTGTGTGTAGTTACATTTATTTATCTACATAAGAATTTTACATCAGTAAAACTTACATCAATGTAGACACAATTTTTATGTTAAAGTTATGTTCTCTGATCATACCTGCCCTCTTTTCTTGTTCTCATGGCTCATTTTGGGGCTTTATATTTATCTCTGATTGTACTAACAAAACTTTCACTTTAAATTGTGCTTTTCCTTCCCTGATACATCTAGAGAATACAACCAAATCTTCCTTCAGCTTTCATATTGTTCAGCCAAACAAGGAAAAGTCTTACAGTCTCTTTGCATAAGATAATCTCTCAATTCCTGTAATAATTCTTGCAGCCCTTCCAGCATAAGTTTATCTCTTTTAATACACATAAGCAAAACTATACATGGCATTATAAAAAAAAGTGTAGCACTCAGTCTTAACAATTGTGTTCGAACTTGGATATAAGAGAAAGATATCCATTCCAGTATATTTAAAAAAAATTGTTGAATTTAGTAGCTGCATTGATACGGCATTTGGAATCATCTGTCCATTTCTTTCTTGTGTTTCACTGGTTTGAAGTTTCCAGTTGGCTCTTCATGAAAGGCCTTCAACTTTTTACTGTCAAATTCCATCCCAGTTCTGCTATACTGGTTCTAATTATTACATTGTTTTCTGTGGGTTTTGTAAGACACACTGATCTGGCCTCATCTGGATGATCTCTCTCCACTCAGATAATCAGCATATCCAGAATCTTAGTAGTGAGAGGTCTAGAAAAAGTCTGAAGCAGGACTGGTGCCCCGCAAAGTATGCTATGACTTAGCTACCTCACATCAGGCTAGTGGCATCATTTTCTGTGTGATCCTTTGATGTGCAACAGGCTGACTGAAGGAGCTGTCTGCTGTTATTTTACTGGTTTTCATCTTCTGTAACTTTACTATTTTGTGCAGCTGACAGGAGGAAGAAGTTTCATGGCCTGTCTTTGGATATGCACTTGCAGATTAGATTTGGGGCCTTAGAGCAGATGAGGAGGAGCGATTTGTTGAGGAGCCGTCTTTGTCTAACCGGCAGATTGTAAACAATACCACCAGGAGGAATGCTCCCTTCTGCAGGGCATGGAGGCACTCGCCTGCAGAGGAGGCTTTCTGGCTAAGGTCATTTGGCTTTCAGGGACTCAGATCTAGGATGTTGCAGGAATCACAAGGTTTTTTTGACTCTCAGACTATTATCCATTGTCTGCACATCTGTATGGACGCTGGCAATAGTATTGAGGGAGGCCTTGCCTGGGAGCCCAGGAACTAGGGTGAAAGGCACAGGACACCCAGTGATGTTGCCCTGGATCCTGCCAGTTAAGGAAGAAGGCTTGATTAAGGGTAAGGAATTCTACTAACCAGTAAATCAGCTACTGTGAGACTTTTGAAAAAGAGAATGTGGATTACAGGTTTGTTTGTCAACAAACATGGTTCAAACACCTAATTGTTTTGCACTACTAATAAGTATTACTCCAGTCTTAGCTTTAGTATCATCTCCTTTTCATGATTATTTGATTAGGCATGTCAGATACTGTAGTAAGTAATAAACAGGCCTCTCTTTCTTCAATTGACTTTTTTTCCCTAATCTTATTTCTGAGAAGTCTCATTGTGATAAGTTTCCTGGCAACATTCATTGTGCACGATTCCAGAGGACTCTATCCATGCCCTTCTCCAAGCTGAAGAACTGTCTATCCCTGCTCCCAGGAAAACAACTTAATGTTCCAAGAATCTGGTTCAGATAAACAGAGAAGTTATGAACAAGCTTTGGTGCAGAAAAGATATGGTATAGAGAGTGTAGAAGCAGGGAGGTGTTCTACAAGAAGGATTTAGACCTTTTGCCAAGGCAACTAAGGTTATATAGGGAAAGACAAAGCTCAGCTGGAATTGAGACTTGCAGAGAAAGTCAAGGGCAACAAGATGTTTTATGGCAGTAGTTAAAGGCTGAAGAAAGAAAAATGTAAAGCTGTTGCTGAAGGCAGCATGTGATTTAGTGTCAGTAAATCATTCCTGGCCAGCCTGGTTTGATAATAAGGCGGGATTTCTGGATGAGGGGAAAGGTGTGGATGTCATTTGTGTTGTCTGTAGCAAATTTTTAAACACTAATTCCCTCAATGTTTTTGTATCCATTTTAGGATCACATGGGTTTGAGGAATGGACAATTAGATGAGTAAAAAACCAGTTGTAAAATCAGGCCCAGAGATAGGGGTTAGTGGGTCCTACTTTGCCTGTAGGCTAATAAGTGGAATATCAAAGGGGTCTCCCCTGGCATCTCTCCTGTTTAGCCTCTTTGTTAACAACCTGGATGAGGCAACTCTCATTGAGTTTTCAGGCCATGTGAAGCTGAAAGGAAGTGTTGGTAATGGTAGGACTGTCATCCAGAGGGACCTGCACAGATAGAAAGAATAAGCAGATGGACACCATGGTCTGGTCTCATAGTTTACCCTTCTTTGAGCATGAGATTGAAATAAATGATCTTCTGAGATCCCTTTCAACCTTAATTATTTTATTATCCTATGACCTCAGAAGAGTCAAAATATTAATGCAGTTCTTTTTTTTGCTCTCGTTTCTGAAACAAATGCTGTTGTTTTCTTGATTTTCTTTCAATAAGTTTATCATGTTAGAATAGAACTGATAGTTTCTCATGTTAGAGTAGAACAAATTTAAACTAGAACTGTGATGTACTTTTGCTTCTGAAATTCTTCTGTTTCAGTTATATCATTTCCAATTTCATATCACACACTAATAGGTCCGTTTCCATTCCTCTTATTGACCAGTTTCTTGTTTTAATTTATAAGTAAAACTTTATTAGATTACTAAAGGAACAACATCCTCAGTTGTATTCTATCCAGTCTAGCAAGCTCCTGGGTTTTCAGTTTGCCTGTGGGCACTATGCATTCCCCTGTTAGTTTTGATTGTCTCTTTAACTAGTCTTGGTTTTGTTCTACCTTTTTCTATAGAAGTTATATGTTTCAGAGCTTTTTTGAAGTTTAATTGCTTAAGGTCATGTAACATGTAGCAGAAGGTTAATTAAAAAATAGAGTTGTATAGTATTTTGATACATGCAGCAGAAATTCTCTTGCTAACATTCAGTAGAAACATTCAGTTTCTTCCACATTCAGTAGAAACTTTTTATTGAATTGTTTGAGGAGGAAATTCTCATTCTCTTCTAAATACAAAAAAATTGCATCTCTATAAAAAGTGAAACATATTTGACAAACTACAAATATGTAAAAAGAAATCTTAAATTTGAATTCTGTTTATACTGTTAGCCAAAGTTGTCAAAGAGTAGATATTAGAGAAACTAAAAACAGTAAAATCAATTGAAAAAAGTATTGATGTGCACAACATTCTCTGTTTTAAGGTGTGTTTTGTTTCTAACAGATTTTGTCTTCTAAGAGTGACTCCCGTTTGAAGCACTTACTGCAACGAGCACCTGAGTATTGTCCAGAATCAATGGTAAGGCTTGCTAGAAAAGCTCTTCAAAGCTCTATTTTATAGCATGTATAAGCTATAAAATGCAACAAAAATCTTACCTATGTTATAAAGACTTGTGCTGGTGATTGTCACTTGGATGTTAATGGTAGCAACTTAAATTAGATCTTAAGTTCCAACATGTGAATGGCACAAAGCCATGAGGCCTTGGGCTAAGACAAGAAGGCCCTGATAGCTGCACCAAATTGTTGATGGCCTTATCTGAGAAACTGAAGTAATGCTTTTATTGGATAAGTAAGATTATGGTTTCCTGAAAGTTCTGTAATGCCACTTGTGTTTAACTAAAACAAGAGTGTAATCCACTCCCTCTTCTAAGGATGATCTAATCAGGGAATAGATAAGTATGGTCATTCAGATTGTAAATTTTAGAGTCTTATCTCTTGGCACCCTTCTGCAGTCAGAAAAGCCGGCTTTCTTCTGGTAATTTCTGTTACTTCTGAACAGTATCAATAGTGTTTGCAGCAAGCCTAAAACATATGCTCAGCTCAAGTGAGCAATGACTAAGAGTAGTAAATCTGGGAATAGCATTTAATTAGCAACTTCACAAGATTTTGTTCACTTATAGATCCTTTCCTTCTGTGTGGCAAAGTTCCTTCAGTTTTTTGTTTCTGTGGGTCAATAGCTCTAAGGTCTCAGAAGGTTCTAGACAATTCCTGGTATAGGTAAAACCTATCATGAAAGCCTATTGAAGTGATGGAAAGCATTTGGTTTTGTACTGTTTTTCTTTATCTTTCATTCCCAGATAAATAGAATCTTATCTGTATAGTAGAGAAGTGCTTCTGATAAGACAGGATTAGAGATTATCTGAAAGGGGGAAAACAACACAATGATTTTTATAACTCCCAATTATTATCTTTATAAATGACAAGTCAGCTGTCCAGTGTGGATCTTCAATTAACATCACTGAACTGGTAATATCTTCATACATAAAATAGTTAACCGTTCAACTCAATACCTTTTTTGCTGTTCTCAGATATCTCTTGTATTGTTGGACAGGTGTTCTGGTGCCATTTCACTGATGAGCAGATGGTTTTAGATTTAATTAGATGGTCAATATTCTTGAGCACTGGTTACAGACATTGTGTTGTGTGTATTCCTTCAAGCAATATAATAGGGTATTCCTTGGTATTAATTTAAAAAGTAACTGCCAGCACAAGAGGTGATCTTTTTTTCTTTGAATCATAGATGTATTTAGGTTGGAAAAGACCCTAAAGGTCATTGAGTCCAACCATTAACCTCCTCATGAAATAAAGGAAGTCAACTGAAAGGGGTGGAACTTGCAGAAGTAGCAGCTCTTTACCATCTTCATTTGATCTTGCTTTGGCTCTTGCCTGGGTAGAAAACCTCCACAGATACAGAGGAGGACAGTGTTAGATCATTAAATACAGATCCATTGCAACTTTGGAAAGTCATCAATTCCTGTGATGAGAGATGGATGGATGGATGGATGGATGGATGGATGGATGGATGGATGGATGTGTCACTGTGTGACAGTATGGTTTCCTGTGTCAGTGTGATTGAAACACTTATTTTAAAATTTGTCTTCTGTGTGGTTATGTGTGTTTAGGGTGTTTTTAAGCTGGTGGGAAGGAATGCTAGGGCAGTAAGCTTCTCCACAGGTTTTAGTCCTAGACAAATCTTGTTCTTTGTTTAAGTTGCAGTTTAGTTCTGTGAACATGGATGGAGAGAGTTGACTAGCTTGTGTATTCCAGATAACTACATTATGTTCTGCACCTGCAAAAATGCTGCTTTTGATTCTATAGTCTGTGCATAGCAGCCCTCTCATGGAAGGAAGTGGTACTCAGCTTCTATCATAGCACTTCTTTAAAATATGTTTAAATATAAGAATTCTTCCAATCAGATATTTAAAACCCAGTGAAAAAATGCTGACATTGCTGGTTTGAGTCTGCTGTAAGCTCTCTTATTCTGTAGACTTGCTTTTGCTTAATTGCATTTTTACTTTTCAGAGAGAAGTGTGGGGTTGTATAAATTCTTCTTTGCCAGGTAAGAAATACCAGCTGACTATGGAATCATGTTGCTTTTCACTCTCTGTATGTTTTAATATTGTGTCTACCTCCTCCACCTATCGATTTCATGATAATTTAACTTCTATTGTGCATCTAATATAAACTGTGTGTTGTTAAGTTTCCTTTAGTATATAATGAGTTACCTGTGCATTTTATTAATAGTTTTATTTTACTAGTTAAAAAATATATTTAATATGTTTGTGGAATTAAACATGTTCTTCTGTGACAAATCAGGGAAATATCAGCATTTCTTTCTTTTCAAGATTTTTTTTATTTTTAAAATTTTGTTACACCTTAACCTGATCTACAAAATGGTTGATAACTATGACTTTACTCTAGATGCAGCATAATTTGAACAAAAACTGAGTAACACAGGGAGATAGTAAGAATTAGGCAATCAATTTAAGTGCAGGGGCTCAGATTATGAACCAAACTGCTTGGTACAAAGTGTGACAGATTGAAGCTGGCCAAATGCCAGTTCACCTGTGAGAAATCATTTATTCATTTTTCTCTGCTGTAGTTAAGCAGGGGCGGGGAAGAAAACTCATGGGGTGAGATAAGGAGTTTAGAAGAAAACAATTTAGGGGCAAAGCAGGCACTAAACTTTAAAAGGTATAAAGAAAAAAAATATTAATAGAATTAAAAGAGGATAATGAGAACTAAAATAAACCTTTAGAGCACCTTTCCCCCCACCCCAGCCTTTTTTCCTTCCCCCCAACAATGCAGGGATTTTTAGTCAGTTTGCCACTTTTTAAGATCTTTCTTCAGTTCACTCAGGGAGAGGAGTCTCTTTTGCTATGCCATGGGGTCTTTCCTATGGGAAACAGTTCTCGGTGAACTTTTCCAATGTGGTTTTAATTTTCACGGCTAATAGTCCACCTGGAACCTGCTTGCAATGTGAAGTCCCTCCCACGGCTTGCAGGCTTCCCACTACTGCTTTTTGTGGGCCATTTAGTTTGTGTGGTGCAGTTTTTAAGGATGAGCTGTTCTAGAGTACAAAAGCAAGGTCCTCTTCCTCTGTCTCTGAAAGCAAGGGCTCTCTGTTCAAGCCTCTCACCAGATCACAGCTTTTCATCATCCGCATGCTCCAGCATGAGGGCATTTTTCTCATGGGCTGAGGGTGAGTGGTGCATCCCCCCATGCTCTTCATGAATCACAGGGAAACAGTTTTTTGTATTATAGTCCCCACCACGGCTTGCAGAAGAATCTCAGCTCTGACACTTGGAGCACTTCCTCCTCTCCCTCCTTCCTTTGCGGTGACCTTAGTGTCTCCATGTTGTTCTCCTCACCTGTCTTCTCCTTTTCCTTGTTCCTGACTCAGGAGAGAATTTGTGTTCATAGTTCGTTTGTTGCCAACTTCTTCAATTGAAACAGTTTCTATAGAGTTCTGCAGTGCTGAAAAGTTGATTTTGTCCAGGCTTTGCATCAGGGAATCGCTTGCTGTGCCTCTCGCTGTTGGTAACATATTCCAGGCCCCACAGGTGCTCATGTCACCAGGATGCCCCCCCAAAAGGAGGATCCCTGCAGCCAGAACAGGGCCCAGCCCTGCCAGGAAGGGGCTCGGCCACAGCACCGGCCACCTCTTCAAGGGCAGAAAGAGAGCTTCCCATGGTTTCTTCTTTCTTAAATGTGTTGTCATATAGGCATTACTAGCTTCTCTAATTGACTTAGCAGTGTGCCAGTTCTCAGAGCCAGCCAGCCATTGGTTGTGCCAGGCATGGAGGAAGCTGCTAGCTGCTCCTCACAGAGAATTGCTTCCGTGGCTAGCTCTTTCCCTCTTCACCAAAAGGCAATTAATGCAAATCCAGCATAGAAAGTTAAAGCATAAATCACAACATAGGCCTATAATGTTAAAAGGAGAGAGAAAAAATAGATGAAATCAGGCTTAACTAGTCCATTGTATCATGTGTAATTTCTAAAAGACTTGAAATTACAAAATTAAAATGCTTTGAAATTAAAATACTATATTTGGAAAAGTGGGAGTGCTGGAAGAGGAGGCTGTAACAGTTTTACAGAATCTGCTCAGACTCCTTCCTGTCCCTGCAGCAGGTCTCAGAGGCAAGCTGTTGATTCCAGTGCTCGTAAACAGCCTTTTTATCTTCTTGGTTAGAAACCTGTGTGCAGTTACCAGACTTCCATCCTGTTGGAGTCACAGAGACACAGCAGGAAAGCTCCCACAGCAGGTGTGCTGTGAGGGACAGGTACAGGAAGATGAGAAGCAGAAGTTGCCCTTTATGGGGGAGTGTTAACTGGATTGCATGGAGCTCTGTCTGGAATGGCCGATGAGCCAGCTGAGAGCAGCCTGTGGGCACTGGAGGGCATTGTACAGAGAGCCCAACACGGGTGATGATGTGGGTGTCTGCTGCTCACCGCCTCATCAGGCTGAAGTAGTAAATGAGGCCTTCTTTGTACAGCTGGAAGAAGTCTTGTGTTCACAGGCCTGGTGTTTATGGGCAGCTTTAATCACCCTGATACCTTTTGAAGAGGAAACACATGAGGGCACAGGCGGTCTACTTGGAAGAATCCCATGGGCCGTGGAACTGGAGAAAAGGAGGGTCCAAGAGAGTTGCTTGACTTCAAAAGATCACCTTATCCAAGCTTCAGTTAATGCACGGTGGGATTAGAAAAGCCAGAGCCTATCAGGAGTTGATCCTGGTGAATAATGTGATTGGCAGCCAGAAAGCTTCTTGAGCTACATCAGCAGAAAAGGAATACTGAGGAAAATGAGGGCCTGCTGATGAATGAGGCAGGAAACCTGGTGACAAATGACACTAAATAGCCTGTGGTCTTCTTTGCCTCAGTCTTTACTGGTAAGATGAACCTGGAGAAGTGCCAGGTCCCTGAGATCAGTTGTAAAGTCCAGGGCAAGGAAGACTTGTGTTTGATGGAGGAGGATAGAGAGGGGATAATGAGGACTTTGAAGAAGAAGGGAAGAAAGCAAGTTCATTCCTGCCTCTAGAAAGGGCAGGGAGGACCTGAGGAACTCTAGGCTTGGACAGTTTTACCTCAAACCCTCAGAAGGTAACAGAGCAGATCTTCCTGCAATCAATTTCTAGACACATCAAGAACTCTAGTATAGATACTCTATAGTCAGCATGGATATATGAAGGAGAAACAATGCTTAACCAACACGATACCCCTCTATGCTGAGATGACTGCCTGTTTAGATGAGGGGAAAGCAGTGCATGTTATTTGTCTCTGCTTCAGTAAGGATTTTGTCACTATTTTTTATGACTTGCTTATAGACAAACTGATGAAGTGTGAGCTGGATAAGTGAGCAGTGGAGGTGAAGTGAAAACTGGCCAAATTGCTGTGCCAGAAGGTTTGATCAGCATCACAGAGCACAGCTGTAGGCCAGTATCCTGAGGGTCTAATCCTATTTGACATCTTCATTAATGATGGAACAGAGTTCACTCTCAGTGTATTTGCCAGTGATGCAAAAGTGAAAGGAGAGGTTGGGAGACCAGGTGGTTGTGCTGCCATTCACAGGGATGTTGATTAACCAAAGGAGTAGGGAGACAGGAACCTCATGAAATTACAGAAAAGGAAATGCAAAGTCCTGCACCTGATGAAGGCCCCGTGCTCCACAGCACCCAGGAGGCTTGGTAGAAAGGTACCTGGGAATCCTGGTGACCAGCAAGTGGAACACGATCCAGCAATGTGCCCTTGTAACAAAGAAGACCAAGCATCCAGACTGCGTCAGTGAAAATACTGCCAGCAGATCAAGGGAGCTGATCCTTCCCCTCCACTCAGCGTTGGTGAGACCACATCAGGGATACTCTGATGTGTCCAGTTCTGAGCATTTTGGACAAGAAAATCATGAACACTCTGGAGCAAGTTCAGCAAAGGGCCGCTGTAAAGAGATTAAGGAGCTGGAACATATATGAGGGCAGGCTGGGGGTTTGTGTTAGGCAAATATATGATTTGTTATGGCTCAGGAATCTGTATGGTACAGATGAATGTGATGAATTACCATAACTGTGGGCTCCAGTCAATCAATTGTGCACTGAAGGTGTATTTTCATCTAGAAATGCACATAACTACCTTGATGACAAAATTAATTTACAAGTTACTGTATTAAGATTGAAGTTCAATGTTTCTTGAGAGTCAGTTTATTCACAAGCTTGTCTGCTGGTTGGATATAACCTAGAAGAGAGGGTCACTTGCCAAGAAAACATTAACAACAGCTGAAAATTATCAACCTTCTTAATTTGGTGTGTATTTGTAGCTTGTTTCATTCTTTTATCACCATTAAGTTTAGTTCCAGTATGTCTGAAACCACAGGCCCTGTATTGCACAAAATATGGATGCCTGACTGCTCAGTGGTGACTGCTCCTTGGTGACACTGCTCCCGAAGCTGTCCAGCTGTATTTACCATGTGTTTCTCCTGGATACAGCTAGTTATTGCAGCAGAGATTTCTGGAAATCTTTTTTCATATTGCACATGATGTTTCTTTGATTTTTTTTATAGATTGCTTATGCCTCACATTATCAATCCTACTAGTAAATATTCTACCAAGCATTACTGTTCTGATTGAAAGGAATCCCCACACAGGAATTTATGCAGAAATGACTGATGTCTTATTTTATGCCTAAAACAGAGCACAGTGAGTGGTCGATTGCCAAATTGCCAAACTGTACATATATAGGAAAACCTAAATTCCAGATTCCCGAACACTGATTGCAAGCTACTGATGGGTGCACTACAGCGATCTTTTTGTCACTGTCAAAAAGGTGCTTAACCTCGAAAAAAGGAATTCTGCACCCCAATTGTGGCAGGGAAAGGTGAGCTGTACTTAGTAGTTGGTGACCTTCACAGCTGCTTTGAACTAGTGTCAATTGGAATGCTGAGGCAATGCTCTGAATAGATGTCAAGAGGATTTTGTGAGTCTCTGGAAAGACCTATGGAGCATTGGCCTGCAGAGGGTCTGAACCATTGAGATGGTCAAGCTGACAGAATACAGGCTACAGCTAGAAGCTGTAGTGCACCTTTGCCCCTCTACTCCCTCCACCTGCCGAGCAATGCTGCTACTTACTTGTGTCAGGCATTAAGCTTTTAATTTGTGTTTTAGTAACTTTTATGCATATTTTAATTTCCACAGGGAATGTGTTAATTTTTCTTTGTGCAGATTTTGCTCCTCCTTTATAAATTTGCCATTAGCACATTTTCTTAATTTACCCATTGGAATGTCATGAAAGACAGATGCTGGCAAGACTTTCTGTGCCACCTGTGTTTGTAAAGCTGATCAAGTGTGTTTAAAAGGCAATTTTCTTCATTATAAATACCAGTTGGCCATTATTTTCCATTGATTGCAATTATTTTTTATTACTTTTTCCAACACTTTTTTCCAAGTGTTTTTGTAGCATTTAAATTTAAGATCTTACACCTAGCTCTTTCACTTCCCTTTTTTAAAGCTGGACATCCCATGTGGCTCTTCTAAATAGGCATTTAAGGCATTAAATAGGCATTAAAATGCTCTTAAGCCCCTTAAGCCACGGGGCTTAAGAGCATTTTTTAAAATTAAGTTGTTGATACTTCTGCTTTCTGCTTTTTTATTTTTACGTAAAGAATATGATTTATATATGTAATAAAGTACTGCTTTATTTTTTGAATATGTAACAAAAATGAGTGGTTCATTTGAGTTAAATAATTTTACCTCCTGTCCTAAGAAAAATAATGTAACAAGTTAGTCACAGCTGCTGGGCAGCTGCATAGATCAAACCTTCCCTTCATTTCTGTCTTTAAGGTTACATGAGAAATAGATACAGTAAAATTTTATTTTATTTCTGGTGTTTGGAAAACATTAGAAAATCTGCATTTATTATTAAATTAAGAAGATGAAGAAACTTATGGCAGCAATTTGCTTCTTGCCATATTTCTATGTGACCTTGTGGTAAGAAATTATGATCATGCAAAGAGTGAAATAAATGGATTAAGAGAGACAGGGAGATGGCAAACTTCTATTGGCAATAGTTCTGGCTATGGAACCGTGTTGCTGGGAAGGTAAATGACAGAGGAAGTGTTGTGGATTAACCCCACTAGGCTGCTCATTACCACAGCGTTTGCTCCTTCTCCCATCAGTGGGAGAGAGGAGAATCAGAGGGCAGCAGTGAGATAACCCATGGGTTGTGATAAAGACAGTTTCTAATTTTAAAATGGAAGGAAAAACAAGAAAGAAAGGAGGAAAAAACCCAAATCCAAGAAAAACAAGTGAATCAAAAAGAAAATAATTGCTTACCACCAACCAGACCCCATGCAGGGGCAGCCCCTGCCATCCTCAACCCCCAGCTTTTATGGTATGGTGCCATGTGGTATGGAATGGGGTCAGCTGTCCTGGCAGTGTCCCCTCCTGACCTCTTGTGCACTGCCAGCCTATTTGTGAGTCCCTATGGAAAACAGAAAAGGCCTGGATGTTGCCTGTATTTGCAGTAACTAAAACATCTCTGTGTTATCAACACTGTTTTAGTCAGAAGTCCAAAACATAGCCCCATGCCAGCTCAGCTGAAGAAATTTAACTCCATCCAGACCAAAAACACCAGGAAGTTTGGAGAAAGAATGCGGAAGATTTTCTGCATTGGCAGAGTTGGTAGAGACGTGTGCTACTGAAACAAACAACAGGGTGTATCTATAAGAGATGATGTTGTAATGAGATTTTTTTCCTGATGTTTTTTGTTGTCTTATATTTCAGATTAGATAGATAATCAAAATCTAATATTTCCATTGAACATATAAATCAGTTTACATAAAGCATCTTTATCCTCAGTGTGTGGAAGGTACTTCATTAATTGCTAGTTTCAGCATTTATGAAAACACAGACTCAAGGTTTTTGCTTGAAGTTGGTTTGGAATTCCAATAAAATGTAATCTGTACATAGGCTTCTTGAATGAGAACAGGATTAACAAATCTGAACAATAGAGGGAAGGGAAAATGATGGCATAGTTTCTCTTTCTACTCTAATAAGTCTGTCATCTTATTTCCCAAGGAGTTTTGAAGAAGTCTGATGGGTGGGTTGGTTTAGGCTGCTGTGAGCTGGCTATTGCTGTGGAGTGTCGGCAAGCGTGTAAGCAGGTAAGGCTTTCACCCTACTGACTGAATTCAGGCTGATTCTGCAGCTCTCTGTGGTTTCGCTAAGCTTAATTCTGACTTCTTGTCACAGTCTCTACATAAAAATTGTTACTTTAAAATAATGTTAAGTGAAAGGCAACACGTAGCTGATCCTAAGCTCCTTTTTTTGTAGTGTCATGTTTTGTGATACAACGTTGTGGTTACAGCCCAAACAGATTTTTGTGCCTCTTCAAAGAGGTTTTTGTTCAGATGGAAGAAAAGGGGGTTTTTTTGGTGTTAATAGAGCCAGTGCTTTTGTCAAGTAACAGTTTTGAGCATAATTTGTAAATTTAGTATTGACCGTTTTGTTAAAAATCTATGAAGTATTAAGTGATTTTCTCCCCCTAAATATGTGTTCGTGGCTTTAAAAACATCTTCAAAATCTAGGAGCATATTTGTGTTTATCATCATCCTTGTAATTCATTTGTGGAGCACAGATGTACTTAATATTCATATTTGTGAATGTTGCCTGTGTAGTCTTAATCTTGACCAAGCAGACTACTGCAAACTGCTGTCATAACAAAAAAAAAAAAAATCTACTTTCACCCAAAACACAGGGTTTAACTATGTGGCAAGAGATGAGTAGTGAGTACAGAGTAGTGTGGGAGAGAGATGAGGAGTGAGTAAACAAACTGGATACTTTTGATCTTCAGAAAAGATGTGTGTTTATTCTCAAATGCATTTTTAAGCCATGTTCAGATATGTCCTAATGCTTAAGTGTCTCCAGACCTGATCAAGACATTTCTGTTTATTGCAGTCTTAATAAATACTGTTCATTTAATCATATGATTGTTACATCATATCTCATTATTATCTAAATCAGATGTTGTATTGTTTAATTGCAGACTGTTGTTTCAAAATCTTAGTTATATTTTGTACTTTAGCAGACACTGGTTAAAACATTTCTGTTTTTTTTTTTTTCATTTATACTAAAACATAAATACTTGCCAAATACTAGGGATAATGGGAAGTATTTGGATTTTGACTTTGATCCTTGAAACTTGAGGGGATTTTGGAGTCATTTTGAAGGCAGTGATACAATAGGTCCAAGGACAGACTTCACCTTAGTGTTTTAAATATTGGAGGGGGAAGTAACATGTTAGTAGTCACTATAGTTTTGAATATCTATCACATGAAAAAGGAGCACAAGATTTTGTATAGAACAAAGGGATCTGCAGTTTGCAGGGAGAATTTCTGCAACTCAGTTTGACAATAGGGACCTTAGAAATGAACATACAAGAGGGAGGAGGGTGGAAAGCAACACACAAGTGATAAATCAGCAGGGAAAGTGGGGAGATCTTTATGCTCAAGCTCTTCCATTTCTTAAATGCTTCCTGTGTTCTGCAATCTGCCAAACCTTTCACAAAGCCTAAGTTGCTTTGTGTGCTTCTGCTGTCAACTAACTTGGTGCAGACATATGAGGGTTTTTGTTTTCATTAAATGTCATATTAATAAGTCATGGTGTCTGCTTTTTTTTCTTAAAGCTTTACATGGATTCTTTAGGTTCTTAAAGGAACATTTTAACAGATCATGAATCCATTGTTATTGCAGTTACTTTAAAAGTAGAATGGTCTTTATTTTGCAACATGATTTTATCATTTTCTACTACAAATGGAGAAATTTTTCTGTCTTTCAGGCTTCTGCAAAAAATGACATTTTAAAGGTCTGCAGGAAGGAATATGAGGTATGTTTTTATGTGTCTGAATATATGTGGGAAAAAATCAACTTTTATATCAATCATTTTATAAGTCCTGTAAAAATACCCTGTAGAAGAGGGAAAGTTCAGTCTTTATAGAGCTGTGTTTCTGAATGTGCTTATTTTCATATGACTGTAAATTATCTCTCTACAGTTTTTATAAAAGTATAATCACATTCTGTAAAAAAGTTTTGCATTTTTTAGACTTGTATATACCTTAATTTAAATGAAAAATTCCAACTGTCAAATTGGATTCCCAAAAAGTTTATTTCATAGGAGTTTTGATCAAAGTCAGCATTCTTTGTGATCATTCAATTTTTCAGAAACCTTTCAGCTTGGACAGTGAGAGTCAGCTTAAAAGTGAGCTAATGAAATAAATTCAGGAAAGAACAGCCTTAAGTATCCTATCTGAACATAAATAATTTCAAGTGTATAATTTTTTGTATCATCAGTGAAACTGTTGATGCTTGCAGTTATTTTTACTGTTCTGCTCATAAAATTAATCATCAGGATATCTTCAGAAATCTGTCTTTACCTATGTTCTTTTTAATACAGTGTGTGGAAATGCTATTCTGCAAGGACTGCTTTTCTTTTGATCTTCATCTTAATTAAAAGCCAGATTCCTCCCACCCCCTTTCATCTAATTTCCTTCCGCCTTAAGTTAGGTAGTGCTGCTAGCATCAGTTCTGCTCATAATCAACAGTTTGGGATATCAGACAATTTTCTATTATTTTGATTTGGGCAGAAGTGGAGCAGTTTTCCTGTTTTTTCCAGGAAGTATTGAATTATTTTTTTGAAATTTATTTTCCCTTTTGTCCTTTAATCTAAACAATCTGCAGAGTATTTTCCTAGACTCTTCACTGTGGAAGGTTAGCATGGGTTGAAGTTGCCATAGCTTGTTCTCTTAAAAAATGCATTTTCATTTTAAGTAGTTCTGTCTCCTTCCATGCTATAATATACTATCAACATCTGTAAGCTTCTCCTCTATTATGCTGGTCTGTTTCCTTCTTTTTTTCTGGATTTCTGCATTGCTGTAGGAGGTTGGCCAGTATGGGTTGAAGGAGAACGGGAGAGGAAAGGTAAGAGAAAAAAGAATGACTTCAAAATGGTCATAGTCATCTTATTTATTTTTCCAGTTTTTATCTGGAATTTTGAAAACTGGACATCTCACTCTTAATCAGGTGTGGTCTTGCTGCTATTGTACAGAAAACCTTAATGCTTGCTATCTGTGCAAGACTAAAAGAAAAGTCAAAGGAGAAAGATCATAGTAGAAGGTATCAGTCTTCTGATTAGGAAAGAAGGAAAGAACTTTTTTGATGAGGACTAGGTGCAGTAGATACAAATAGTATCAGGGACAGAAATTAAGTATCTGATGTGCTAGATCTTCAGTTATGATAGAAATTTGTATGACAATGATTTTTCATATGTATCCAGGCTTACAGGTGCTCATGGAAAAAAAATACTTAAAATACTCTTAATAGGCTTATTGGTTGAATTAAATTCAAGTCATACCTAAGATTGAAGATTCCAAATACAACTTTTGGAGGGAACCTGCAGTTTCCCGCACCCTGTCATTATTTCTCTTTTTTTAAAAAAAAACTTTGTTCTTACCACTTTGGTGTATGAGTCCTGCTCCCTCTGTAGCCTGTGAGTAGCTTCTGTGTCCTGTACTGTACTTTGCATTCTGTGGAGTTGGCTGGGGAAGCACTGAACTGGGGAAGGTATGGCTACTTCAAACTGAGAGAGGTGACATTAGATCACAAATAGCACATGAATCACATAAATACGATGTCATACATGCTGTGTTTTGCATTTAAGAATTCATACTTCGCTACAAATGAGGATCCAGTTAGAAAAGTAGTTTGCAGTATGGATCGTAATGCTTGGTAATCAGCTCTCAGGTCTGTTGCTGAGGTATTTAATAATGAAGTACATGACATAAAAGTAAAAACTATATGAATTAAGGATGCAAAATATAATTCCCTATTTTTTAAACACTCTCATAGCTTACCAGTCTTCTTAACTTACTTAGCTTACCCACATAAGGATTTTCCAGAGAATTTTCACAAGCTGCTTAGAATAGTCTGAACTGTGTATAGTACACCTCTGTAATCTTTTGAGATTCAAGAGGCAGCTTTGTGAGTTACCCTTCAGCCTCCCACTAAGTTAATGAGGGTGAAGAAGGAGGTAAATCTTCAGGGGGAGGGCAGACGGTTCAGAGCAGTGAAAAAAGCCAAACTCCATGCAGGAAGTGTCACCAAGTTTGAAGTCACTAAGTGGAGTCTCAGGTGGTGCAGCAGCAGAATCACTTCAGCATTGATGTGCCAGCCTTTGACAAGATTAATTGAAGATGCTTTTTCTGCTGATCATACATTTCTGCATTACTTTTACTGTAAATATTTATGGTTATTTTAATATGGAGATTTTGCACATTTTAGAAAAGTATTGTGTTGGAATAAGGTATTCATTTTTTATCAGTGCTTTGAAGATGGCATGTCCTGAAACAATTTTTATTTTCAAGTAGCACTGCATAGAGAAATGAGTAAATTTTACGCAGCTTGCCCAGTATTTTTGAGTGTTACCAAAAGGTATTTTATTTGCCTTCTTCTGAAGGTTTTAGTCTAATAATCCTTTTTTCCATCTTCCGCTTCTCAGATACTTATTTTGTCGTCTTCATTTTTCCTCTAGTTCTGTGCACCTCAGTTCTTTTATCTTTCACTACTTCTTCCAGCTTTCTGCTATCCTGTTCATCTTCCTCTAAAAAAAAGGTAGGTAATAGTCAAAGGAAGAAGAAAAAAGAAGTGGAGATTGTATGGATTGTATGTAGGATTATCTGATTTTTGAAGTTTTAAAACTTTCATGTAAAGTGGGGGTTCATTTTTTTTAAAAGACCACATGGAATACATGCTTCGGTGAGCAGCTTAAAATAGTTCATTAACCTTAAAATCAGCTGTAAAGGCTTTATTACTGTGTTTAAGATGCCTTTTCTTTCTTCCGTGCATGGAAAGAGTAGCACTGAAGTTACCATTAGATTGCAGCTCTTGAGTCTGTGCACTGCATATTGTGAGTTCACCTCTCTGAATATTAAGAACACCAGCTTTTACTTCATGTGTTCCAAATAAGACATATAAACTTTTCTAGCTCATTGGTACTGTGAGAGCTTTACTGCAGTTGAGCACTATTAACATCTCCCAAGCAGTTGAAATGCAACTGAAAATGTCACCACTTATTTAGCCTCTGCTCTTAAAACTAGTTTTGATGCAAAATAGTGAGCACTTGATGTCCCTGGATAGTTTAAAGGTAGTTTTGCTATCACAGATTTGAGCACTCTAGCTTAATCTCACTTTGCAGCTTTTAAACACAGAAACTTAAAATGCAGTGCCTGCAGCTTCAAGTGCTGTAATGGGGATTCAGAAAAGTATTCACTCTGCTACGGTATTGGTTTGTTTTTTCCTTCTAGGGTCATGTGTTCCTGCTTTTTGTTGAGATTATAGTGAATGCTGACTGTTAATTACCCCTGCTGGAAAATGCAGTCATCAGTTTTTAGCTCTTATCTAATTGTTTGTGTGGATTACTCCAAGACAATAGATAATAACTCAAGGAGCTGTTTAGGACATTGTTTAGCTAAAGGTTCCTAAACAGTTTCAGTGAACTCCTAAGGCACAGGACTGTGTGTGGCTGCTGGAAGTACAGCTTACTGAATTCAGGATGGTCTCTGACCATACACTACACATTGTAGATAATGTTATTGTCATCTACTGGTGTTTTTTGTCTCTATTATCTGCTGTTCAAAGAAGGTTGATAGAACACTCAATGATCTTGCCAAAAATTTGAGTTCCAGTAAATTTTGTACTACCTCACTGTGCAAATGTTTTCAATTCTTTACTGGTTTACATAATAGAGGAAAATCTTGATCTTACTTGTTATTACTACAAGTTTTTTAAGTTTTTAGCTGGTGTTCACCATCATTTGACGCTTAGCTGATTCCACTAAACCTTAGTATGTTGTTACCTTCTGACTTTTATCTTCTCTCAATAAATTCAAAGATTAAATTAAGTCAAGGAGAGATCAAGAGGGTTTTCTTTTCTGAGCTTAAATGCACAGAGTTAAGCATTTTACTGTTGTGTTTGTTAACTGCAGGTAATACTTCTAAATTAAGATGGTCTTAATTGGGTAGGATCTAGATTCAAATATTTGTCATGCTTAGCTTGCCCAAGACAATAGTACTAAAGTTATTTTTCTGCCAAACTTAGTAAAATATAGATACCATGATAATTTTTAGGGAGGAAAATAATTTTTGGTGCGCTTTTTGCAAAATACTCCTAATTTCTGTTGTGAAACAACAGCTTCACTGTTGCTTTTCATTCAAGACACAAGAGGCAGCCATTTAGAAGAAATGTATTTATAATGTGAAAGCATGCCTCACAATGCAAAGAGGACTTCATCCTTCAGCAAAATGTTCTGCTCTGTTTGTATTGGGGTGTGTGCATTTTTGGGTTTTGAGCCGTTACCTGCAGCTGATGAGCTCCAAAAAGAGCGAAACCAGTTAGGTCCTGCAGTACTGGCTAAAATCTTCCTTCAGGGGGGTTCTGGTGGGGAAGACTGAAAAAGGTTCTCTGCTGCATAAACCTCAACAGCCTTTTTCAATTTTCATAGCACCAAAAAGAAATCTTTTGAGAGCCTTTGCTTTAAAGTGCACGTGGTTGTGGTGCTGGTGTCTGCTTTCCACTCCAAAGCCAGTCTCACTGGCTTTAATCACCAGGCTTGGAAACACCTGGCTTTAAAAAAACAGAGAAGTCTGAAAGATGGGACTTCTGCACAAGTAAAACAAATCATTGTGTTTGTGGTTTAGAAATTTTGATATTGCTATCTTTGTTCACTTAATTTAGTATTCAACACAAGTTTAAAATGGAGTATCAGACCATGTATGTACACAGTATTACCTTTGTACCATCATTTTCCCAAATCCTGATGACTTAATAATTCCTTTCAAGAGAACATACTTTTCTCCTCGCTTGGTTTCTGTGTTGATTGGCTGGTTTGGTTTTGTTTTTCCTTACCTATATCTGTCTTTTACCTTTTGCTTTGTTTTCTGTGTCTTTCTTCACTGCCAGTTCACTCAAAGATTCCAAAGAAATCTTGAGTGTGCAGAAAAGCTGCTGACCTCTTAGATATGAGTGCTAATTTAGTAGAGATGGACATGAACCTTGTGTTCTGAAAAGCAGTTGCAGTTATTAATTCAAATCAGACTGACTATCTAATGTTGTTAACTTTATTTATGAACATATGATTAGACACTAATTTTGAATTTTTTTTAAGATTATTTCATATCTGTGTAGCTGTACCACTCACATGTGTGAGGGGTATATATGTACACATAAACTGAACATTACCCAGGCCTACCCAAAAAACAAAGTCAGCACCCTCAACTAGCATTCTAGTGGTGGCTACAGACACTTACAGTTTTGTGAAATCTGATGAGTTGCTGTAACAACTCAGTGCAACTGAATTTCTTCCCCTGCCTTCCTTCAACTACCACTTTTCCACACATATTCCCTCCCTTTCCTTGCCTTACTCTGCCTCTGGCATCTGGCAGGTCCTTCTAAAAGACAATATCTAAAAAATGCTTATTCTATTCTGTTCTGACATAGTATCATACCTGTTGATATTGCTGACTTAAATCCTAATGAGAAAAATGATGAGAAAAATGAATTTTCATCAGGATTAGTGAGAGAGATCAAGTCATGGCAAGGTGATGGTGTAAGGGCATACACAAGACTATACAGCTGGGAACAGGGACAAGGTGGAAAAGAGAAGCCAGACCACCTCCTAAGAGAAATATGAGGATTATTACAGTGATTCAGCAGTCTGTGGAAATGTAGTTTCAAAATACAGAAAGAAGATTTATTATTAGGTTAGGACTTCCTGCCTGTATAAAATTGGTGTATGAAATCGCTGTGAGAAGATAATTTTGCCTCAATTTGAGCCTTTCTTTAGAGGAGGAATATTAGTAGATACCATAATCTTCTCAACATTCTCCTTTCTTTTGTGTCCTCTGAGCAGGGCAAGTGACACTGTTATTCATTAACTGCTTTAGAATCACTTTTTTGTATCATTCACCTTCTAAATAATGTGACATCTGAGTACGATTCTAAGTATTGTTTGTGCTAACAGTATGGTCAAGTACTCGGTATAACCATGGCAGACAGACTTCAGATTTTCCAGCAGCCTCTGCTGTCCAAGTGCCTTAATTAATAAAGTTACAGTGTTAATTCTGCCTGGCTGGTTTGTGTGCCACCTTCCAGTGCTCCATGCAGGGAGGCTTTGGAGAAGTCAAATTTCAACAGCTTCTGAGGAGAGTCAGTTCAGGCGCAGTGTTGTGTGTGGCAGGTCCCAAGGAAACCGGGTGGCCACATCGAAACACGTCCTTTCTGCCTTTCTGGTAACCTTTGCCTGGCATCCACAGTGAAGGACATGTGGTGCTACAAAAATGTCATGACTGTTTAGGCAGCAGTATAAATCTGTTCTTTACAGATGTAGGATGATGACCTCACCTCTGTGTTCTTTCTCCATTAAATCTCTTGTCCCTCATCTGCGTTACACAGATGGATGTGTAACAGGATTTGGTTTGTGTGTAAGAAAGAAGGGAACATCTAAAGTTAATCAGATGAAAACATGCTGCTGGGATGAAGAATCTTGCTGCAAATTCATTGTAATCTGAGAGAAATAATGCAGTATCTGTGCTTTTGGGAGAAAATATCTGAAATATTGTAGAGGATTTTTGGCATGGAAAAAAAAAGTCTGAATTGCTACTTTATGAAATCTAGGGCTTTGTTTTATGTAAGGCAGATTTTTAAATTTTTGTGTGAGATGTACCAATAGATCTGTGCTTTATTTATGACCACTAGAATTATAAATAGTTGCTGTTTGTGGAAAAATAACTTACACTTTCAAGTTAGATGTGTGTTCATTCTCTTAGGGCCTTTCATTGCCACATCTGCCATGGCTTACCCAAGGTTTAAATTAATTTCTGAGTGCTAACAGAAGGAATTTGATGCTGCTCATTACAGTATTGGGACTGTCCTGTTTAAGATCTTGTGTTCAGAAAAAAGCAAGAAGAAAATACCAATGAAAAACAAATTCCTACACACTAAACAATATCTAAGTCAAAAGGAAAAATAAAATAATCAAGTTTATTCCCAACACGTTTGTATTTTCATCTGTTTGCAGCAGTACAGATCTGCACAAAAATTGCCCCAAGATTATTTGGATACCCCCTTCTCTGCAATGCAATGAATAACTAGTAACTAAGATAGATGAAGAATGGTGAACTACTGACCTTCAACTAGGTCTGCATTTTGAGCTCTCTTCCTTGTCTTAGAGGTAGTAGCACATGTGGTGCTTTCCTGTTTTGAAGCAAGACTTTAATCCCACGTGATTTGGGATCAGTCTGATGGTGTTTCTGTTTTCTTCTGTGTGAAATACAAATTTGTTTAATTATAGAGATCAGGAGATCAGGAATTTTATTAAGATGGGGATTGTGTTTTTTCACTATATTGATCAGGTATTTGATCAGGTTTTATAATCTGGTGTTCTGACAATTGTAGAGGTTAGATATTTCTAAATTCAAATTTCTCTTTTCTCACAATCATATAATTTTGGTCTTTGATGACTGGCAACTACATTTTGGAATTTCAACCTCATGACTTCATCTTTTCATAGAGTTCCAGACAGCTTATGTGCAGTATCTAATTTTTTTAATGGGAAATGTGCTTATTCAGTGTGGGTTTTTTTGCAAGAGTTCAGTAGTCGTGAGGGAGGGGATTTTGCTCCTCTGCTCTGTTCTGGTGAGACCCACCTGTGTGATGGATACCCCATGTGTGGAGATGCAAATCTTGACTCCATGTTTCAGAAGGCTGGATTATTATATTATGATATATATTATCTTAAAATACTATATTAAAAACTATACTAAAATAATAGAGAGAAGAGGATTCACCAGAAGGCTAGACAGAAGAATAAGAATGGAATGCAATAACAAAGACTTGTGACTCTCAGAGTCTGAGCCATCTGCATCTGTGATTGGCCATCAACTAGAAACAACCAACATGCCCCAATCACAGGTGCACCTGTTGCATTCCACAGCAGCAGACAGTTATTGTTTATATTTCTTTCCTGAGGCACTCAGCTCCTCAGGAGGGAAAAATCCTAGCAAAGGATTTTTCATAAAATGTCATGGTGACACACCTGGAGTGCTACATCAAGTGCTACATCTTCAGCACAGGAAAGATGTGGACCTGTTGGAATGAGTCCAGAGGAGAGTCACAGAGAGATGGAGCATGTCTCCTGTGAAGACAGGCTGAGAGAGCTGGTGTTGTTCAGTCTAGAGAAGAAAAGGATCCTGGGAGACCTTATAGCACTTCCTGGTGCCCGAAGGGGGCCTACAAGAAAGCTGGAAATAAACTTTTTGGCAGGGCTTGTTGTTATAGCGCGAGGGTTAATGATTGTGAACTAAAAGAGGATAGTTTCAAACTACATACAAAGAATAATTTTTTTTTATTATGAGGGTGGTGAGGCACTGGCACTGGTTGCCTAGAGAAGCTGTCAATGCTCCATCCCTGGAAGTGCTCAAGTTGGAAGTGCTCAAGTGCCCAGGTTGGATGGGGCTCTGAGCAGCCTGGTCTAGTGGAAAATGTCCCTGCTCATGGCAGGGGATTGTGACTAGATGAGCTTTAAGGTCCCTTCCAACCCAAACCATTCCATGACTGGTCTGCAGATTAGAGACCTCTGAAACAAAGCAGCAGGATGTGTGTGTTTCCCTTCTTCTGACATTTGAGATGTACATCCCCCAGCTGTGCCTTTTGGCTGCAGTTCAAGGGAGTTGGTTGCATGCTTTAGCTTTTAAGGTACATTGTCATGGAGTTATTTTGTTGAGATTTACTATTTGCATGCATCCATCTGTGCAGAATTATTTTTTTCTACATAGAATTTTTTAAATTATTGTCCTTAAAAAAAAACCCCAACATTTTGGGACAACCTATTATAGCAGTTTACCCTGTTTCTAAGTTAGTCCAGGAAAGTCTTCTAATTTACTTGTTTGCTTGAATATTTATTAGTTTTATTATGAGTACACACAGACCTTTGGTGACCCTTGATCTCTTAATTTCCTGGTTTCACTGTTTGTATAGTGGTTTTGTTTTAATGTAATCTAATTGAAGCAAATAATACCAAAGGTTTATTAGCTCATTATAACAAATGACTGGATACTTAAATATTTATTTGAAGTTTTCTGGCTTGTAACACTGCTTTTGTTTTGATTTCAGAATGCACTCTTTAGTTGTATTAACAGAAATGAAAGTAAGTATAATGAAGAGTTTATTTTGTTTTTCTTTTGTATTATTCATTTTTCTCTAAACTATAAGAGATTATGTAGGTGAACGTACACAAACACATGGATTTCAGACCCATATAAGCAAAAGCCACAACTAAATTGTCTTACTCAAGTGACAAAGGGATTTGGCTATTTGTATAATTAATATCAGTTTTTTTTAATTTGTGAACCTGTATTTATCTTTTCTGTCATCTTTTTCTTCTGCTTGTTCATTTGCTGTGTGCTAAGTAGCAAAATTAAATGCATAGTTGAAATGTTGAAGAACAATGCGTTTTGTTGCTTGATATCTGTTTATATAAAATGAAATCATTGTCGCAGAATTAGTTCCAGTAGAAGCTGTTCTCGAGAGCTACTATATTTATTTAACAACATAGCAAAAATGGGTGAATCACCAGTACCATCTGTCTGGGTTTTTTGAATGATACTACTCTCATATTTGTTTGCTTATTAGTAGTATTTCTCTGATAATTCAATTATTGGACATGTCTGGTTACCTAAAATAAGAACAAAACAGCTGCAAATGAGATGCAGCTGGCTTGCTCACCTCTTGAACTTGAGTTCAAGGTAGCTTTAATACTGACTTTTCTCCTGCCAGACAAACAAATGTAGTTTGGCTAGTTACACATATTTCCAGTCATTCTGTAGACAGAGATTTTTCAATAGAGCATAGAAATTGTTCTTTTTTTTGTTTTCTTTCATTTCCGTGAGCATCCTTGTGTGTCAGACTTGCTCATCTCTTCATTTCTCTGCGTAGCAACACATAGATTTTCTGTTGTTTGTCTGTTTGCCTCCCCAGTGGGGTCAGTCTGTTGCAGTTATGCAGGTCACCATACAAACTGCCGGGAATATTGCCAAGCGATTTTTCGGACAGACTCCTCTCCTGGTCCCTCACAAATTAAAGCAGTTGAAAATTACTGTGCATCTATCAGCCCTCAGCTTATACACTGCGTGAATAACTACACACAGTCGTATCCAATGAGAAACCCTACAGACAGTAAGTACAAATAAATCCTTCTTTACTGAAAGTTATAGAAGATACTGAAATTTTACTTCTTGTACATTTTATATAAAATGTGTTATTGTAGAAGTCTATGGTATAAATTGTATTACTGTCATTATATGAATATATATGATGATAACTTTTGGGTTTATGTGCAATCATTATATGAATTTATATGATGATAACTTTTGGTTTAGGTGCATTAATAATTTTTATTTACTTTTCATTTTTACATATTGGCTTTGTAGGTTTTTTTCAGAGTTGATTCTATTTAGGAGAAGCAATGTTATTTGACATTCTTTGGAGGAGGAGAAGGCACCTTACAGCACTTTTATTTCTCAGGGCTGTTATGTTGTGCATCTTTAATGTTGTTTTGTGCTTGACTGTTAACTATTTTGTTAACAGGTTTGTATTGCTGTGATAGAGCAGAAGACTATGCGTGTCAGACTGCTTGTAAAAGAATTCTAATGTCAATGAAGACAGAGCTTGAAATTGTTGATGGACTTATAGAAGGCTGTAAAACCATGCCTCTCCCTCAGGACCCACTTTGGCAATGTTTTCTTGAGAGTTCAAGATCTGTTCACCCCGGAGTCACTGTGCACCCTCCACCTTCAACAGGCCTCGATGGAGCTAAGCTCCATTGCTGTTCTAAAGCAAATTCTTCCACATGTAGGTCAGTATCTCTCTAAGCTCGTTTCCAGCTGTGAATGTACTTGGGAGTTTGTCTTGTTTCTGGCCTTTGCCTGAATCTTGCTGTGTACATCAAATAGGAAGTTCTGGAATTCTTAGAAAAAATACAGGTTCAGGTAACCAGATAGTAATCTGTTGAGTAATGTGTTCTGTCCAATACTTATAATATCAAAACATACTCTTTTGTAAGAGGAATCAATCTTTTTTCACATTTGACACTGGCTTATTATAGCAGACACAGTAAGTTAATGAAACTTGTACCATACTTGTGGTCATAATAGCCAACATTGCAGCCTCTGGTTGAGGTCTTAATGAGATGCTAAAGAGAGACAAAAGGACAATCAGCTCCACAAACTCTCAAGTGCCTGGTTGTTTCATATTAAGACCTTGGCAGTATTCCTTTCTAGATGCTTTTCTGGTTTTTGTCGGTGAAAAATAACTTAGGTAATTTAGTAATTAAATAAGGGAACTAACTATTCTGACATTTAGAAAAACAAAGGTTTTCAGCAAATTGTTGCATGCTTGCAAATTATTGAGGCATTTTTAGTCTAGAGTGGTTTTCTGTCCATTTTAAAAATAGATGATGATTGCATTTTAAATGCATCAGTGTGTCTGAATAAGTGGTAAGCATTTTACTTCCTTTTATATCAAAGTTTCCAGTAACAACATCTCATGAATGCAGCAGGGTCTTTAACAGCTTTAGTAGTAGAGCCCTGGAGTTACATTATTTCTTAGAACATTGTAGCCTAGGATAGGTAATAAAGTATCTTTTAGTTCCTTGCTTTGACAGTGAGTTCTAAAATGGATCCTTCTGTCACGTTTTCAATAGGCAGGAGGTCTAATAATACAGTGAGATTCCGTATCTTGGGATGGAAACTTTTGTAGTTTGTGGGACATTGCCATGAACAATGTGAGCTGGGTATTGGTGACACCAGGAAACATCTTAAACAAAAGCAGCAAACAGTATCCCTGTTTCAAACATCAGGGCAAAAGAAGAAATGTATTTTGCTTGACAGCCATTTCTGTAGGAGGAGAAAGTGTGATTTGAAGCTGAAGGATGGAATTAGAAGTTGTTCATTTTGATGTCAATTTGGAGTTATTACCAGTAAAATCAGCTGGGTTAGTTTTCATCTCAAAGGTGTAAATTCAGGTTTCCAGTTGTTACATTTTTATTGAATATTGCAGTTTTGTATCCTGAAGTCTTTCGGTCTTACTAGCTTAAAGATGTGTTGACATGCTTGAGCAAAATGGGTTATGTGCTTTGAGCACTACATTTGAGTGCCCTTGGAGACTTTGTGGGCTCTAACACAATCCTCTGTGGTGAGTGGAGGCAGAGTGATGGAGCAGTGGTGGGCTATATCTGAATGGCTGTTGTTCTTTTAATTTTATTTTCTTCCTCTATTTCTTTTTTGTTTTCAGAGAGCTCTGCACTAAACTTTATAGCACGAGCTGGGGCAATTCACAGAGCTGGCAAGAATTTGATCGCTTTTGTGAGTATAATGCAGTTGAAGTTTCCATGTTGACCTGTTTAGCAGATGTACGAGAACCTTGTCAGCTGGGCTGTAGAAATCTTACTTACTGCACTAATTTTAATAACAGGTAGGAGAGAGACACTGAATATTTTATAAAGGAATTCCTATGCTTTGATTTAAAAAATAAAATTAAATGTTTTTAAGACTTATTTTGAGATTGTATATAGCTTTCTTTCTGCAAATGTGGTTTTAGTTTATTTGAAAATAAGTCGTTTTTCTTTAGAATGAACTTTTGGAAATGTATTTAGCAACAGATGTAACAAAACTTACGAGAATAAAAGTTAACCTGTGAAGTTGTAAAATGTCACAGTGTATTACCTCTGCGTGTTCCTCTGTTTTACTGCATAGACAAGTAAGTAATGGTTACTGGAATGTTGTATATTATAAATAAGGTAAAAGTGTTTGTTAAATTTACATGTTACTCATTTTCAAAATTCCTTTTTTGCAGAGTTGTTTCTGTGGATTTGTACTCTGTAGGGCAAAATGATTTAAAAGTGGTGTCTGAAAGTAATTGCATGGTTACAGTTAGAGTTCAAAAAAACCCCTAAATTTTCTTAGCTATTAGAGATCTCTCGTTTTTTTGGGTTTTTTTTTTTTGTTTTTTTTTTTTTTAATAGTATATAGTGGCATGAGTGTTAATAGGAGAATCCTGAGCCTGGCTAAATATAAATCATAAATCAACTTGCATTAGTGATTCACCAAGAAACATTTACAGAAATATTTGGGCTATGATATTTGCTCTTAGGTTAACTTCAGGTGAGAAATATTAAAGTGATGTTTGATCTAAGAGATAGAGGTGAGAAGGGAGTTTCAGCCTTGAGTCTTAAAGACCTTGTCTTCCTTAAAGACAGATTTCAAATTTATTCTGATCTTGCTTAACTGTGGGAGAGATTAATAGCTTGTATGCCACAAAAAGCAAGCCATATGAAGGATGTATGGTACTTTATTTTTCTTTTATCTGTGCTATACTTATTATATCTTACCTTCTCCTTTTAAGACCAACAGAACTATTTAGAAGCTGCAATACTCAGTCAGACCAGGGAGCCATGAATGACATGAAGCTGTGGGAAAAAGGGAGTATTAAGATGCCTTTCATAAATATTCCTGTGCTTGATATTAAAAAATGCCAACCAGAAATGTGGAAGGCAATTGCCTGCTCCCTGCAGATTAAACCTTGTCACAGCAAATCCAGAGGAAGTATTATCTGCAAGTAAGTACCATGGGGAAAACAAAAACCATTGTAGAGGTTTTACTAAGGATTTTAATGAAAACTAAAAAGCTGTAGGACTGTGTTTGCTGTGTTAGGAAAACATGGCAAGGCAAACATGGAAGGAGTATGAAATTGCTTGGTCACCGTTGCTTGAATCTCCATCACTGTAAATGAAGATATTTGCCTGTTAATGAGATGGATGTATGTGCTTGCATTGTAAAATGAAAGAAAAAAGAGATGTATTGAAGTTTTTTTGGCTCTCCGTGGGGTCTTAAACCTTTCCTCTTTTTTGATTTTGGGATCTACTGATGGCTTGCAGCTGGCAGAAAGATCAGGAAAAAAAAAGGGTTTTTTGTTTTAATAAATTTTGAAAGTAGGTAATTAACTGCTCTTTTTTCTACCTAATAGTGCAGGTAGTGAGGTAGAGTTCAACCCATATTAGACATTAGTAAATTAAGGATGTGCTTGGTCTTGGAAGATACATGCGTATGATGCCATAGAAAATGAAGATCACCAAGCCCAAAGTCAAAGAGAAATAGTACAAGCAGTAGTTTCTGCCTTTGTGTCACAAATTTGTTCCTTCCTCCTATGTAAAATGTAGCATATACATATATATATAAACACTCTGCTGTGAGGCATATTGGGAAAGTTGTGGATTCAGGGAAGGGAATAACATAGAAAGAAATCTTTTTCATATAAGCCCTTTTTTCTTTAAGTCGTTTTCATGAAGTTCTGTCTCTTTATTTATCTGTAGATCAGATTGTGTGGAAATACTGAAGAAGTGTGGAGATCATAATAAATTCCCTGAAGGTCACTCAGCTGAGAGTATTTGTGAGCTCTTATCTCCAACAGACGACTTGGAGAACTGTATACCCTTGGATACTTATCTGAGTAAGTACTAACATACCTCTGCAGCAAAATTAGAAACCAGGATACTTTGAATGCTTGTCATTACTTTTAATTATCTTCATTATTTATTTTTAAGAAAATGGTATTGAATTTGAGACATTTTATTTAGTGTATTAGAGAAAATTTGAATTTTCAAGTTGCCATAGTTCATTGCTTCTATTCCTTCTTGTATTGGGCATATGTGACAAGAAAATTATTGGGCAAACAAGATAAAGGAAATATATTTTACATGTGAAGGATCATCTGGGTCATTATTTCCAGGACTGAGGATTAAACTGTTGAAATAAGTTAACTACCTGGTCATATCATGCTTTTACATCTATAATTAAATAAAAATTCACAGAATTGCCAAAAATATTTTTTTACTGGATGTACAAAATGCCATGCTTTGCTGAAGAAACATAAACCTCATTTAAATTAGTGTAGATGATCTGTATTCTATTTTCAGGTCCAAGTTCTTTAGGCAACATTGTAGAAGATGTCACACATCCATGTAATCCAAACCCATGTGCAGCTAATCAGCTGTGTGAAGTAAATAGGAAAGGATGTCAATCTGGAGAGCTGTGTCTTCCATATTTGTGTGTGCCAGGTAAGGTTTTTTAGGCTTCTCTTTACTGAATTTTGCAGGTAAACATGTCACTGAATGTTGAAGGTTTTGAAGTGAACTGCTGTGCCATGGTTTAACCCAGCTGGCACCCGAGTACTGCACAGCCGCTCGCTGGCTTCCCCTTCAGGCCTGGGCAGGAACAGTTTAGTCACTGAAATAAAGTTAGTAATAATAATTGTGAGGGTGCTGATGTTGAAAAGGGAGATAACAAAAAGAGAGGAATACAACCCACAGGAACCAAGAGATGCACAGTGCCACAGCTCCCCTCCCACTAACCCAGCACCCAGCCCTTCCCACCAAAGACGTCTGGACATGCAGCCGATGGTGTTTCTGCTCCTGCTCCCTTCAGTGACACTTTTAATGTGGTTGCACCTTGTAGAGGTGGCCGATCGGGGGTCTGATGGCTCGACCTGGATGCCACAACCTTTCCAGAGAGAGGTCCTGCAAGAGAGAGCTTTCTAGGAGTCTTAGGCAGTCCTTCAGCTGTCGGGTAACCTCAGCAAGGGGCAGGCAGCTCACCTCAGCTCTTAGCAGTGATTTCAGCTCTGCCTTGTGAGGTATACCCTGGCCAACACAGGGATAAAGACAGGAGCACTGTGTGGTTGTTCCACAGAGGTAGCCTTTATTCCAGCAACTTGCAAAGGATGCTAGTGATGGCAGCTCCCTCCTGAACAAGGCAGAAACTGGGGGTTTTATGGGGAAAAGCAGGGGTGGTACAAAGGGGGAAAAAACAATCAGTCCCAACAAATCTGCATGGGGTTCCAAAGCATGCTGGGAACTCACCATGACCACTGAGGATTTCTCAGTCCAGGAGGGTTTGAGAAGATCTTATCAGAGCCCGTTCAAGGGATATCTCTTCAAGGGAGAGGGCTGGCATGCCCATCTGTCTCCACAATTCCCCTTCTCTGCTTAATAAAAGGCATCCCTAACAGCTCTTTTAAAACAACATAAAAGGCATGAGAACATAAGTAACACAATAAGAATCACAATAAAAATCCATCAAATACCCTTAACCAAAGATGAAACCCATCCAGTTAATCCCCATTGTCCGAAAAGTTCCTTGATGCAGTCAGGGTTGTTCTCCACTTTTATGTCCTTTACTTGCTCCTTCCCAGCACCTCACCAGAAAGACACTTATGGTCATTTGGGAACTGCTTTTTTAGAACACTGATGTTGTCTAACCTCAGCACCATGTATAAATGTGAGCTGACTGGGGAGAAAACCTCATTGCAGAATAAGTTTCAGGTACCTAACTTTGAAATGGCAGGGTTGGGTGGTGTCAGTAGCAAGGATTAAATCTACAAAAAGGAAGTGTAAGACTCTGCAATGTCCAACTTCTATAACCCCTTCATTGTTCTGTTCAAGCACCGGTAGTGCTTGTCAGTTTTCCCCCTTCCTTTAAAGCAGGAGTTGTCGTTCAGTGACATGAGAGGTCAGCCGTGGTTCTTGAAGCAGAGCGGAAAGTGTGCATTTGGTGACCACTTGGACATGTGTGTGACTGAGCAAATGAGAGCAACACTGATTTTTATACTGAATTGTATGGAGCAGTCTCCTTTCTAGAGGAGGTGATGGAGAACATTGCTATAGCTGTCTCACATCAGTTCCCTGAGCCTTTCTTCCAGCAGTTCTGTGGCTGAGCAGTAGTTCCCCAGTGGTTCCTAATTAAAAAGGAAAGCAGGATTTTGCTTCACTCATACATCTGCTCTACTAAAAGTGAGGAGAGACTTCAGTTCATTCTTTGTGTGAGCCTAGGGACATATGCTTCTATGACCCTTACACATATTTTTGTTTTCCTGGAAAGCTGAGCCTAATTACTATAAGGTTGTATTGTCTTCACTTGCTGCAAAAGTCATTCAAAGTCATCTGAAAACAAGCTCTGAATACAGAGCTTTGGAAGAGACAATTTGCTTCCTCTGAAGGTTGGAAAGTGACTTTTGTGTTTTAATTCCAATTTTTTATTGGCTGAAAGTTTCAGGGGGCTTGTTGCAGTTCACCCCTTGTAGAGTTATTTCAATCTATTTATTTTATTATTTTTCCTTGCAATTTTTAAATATTTTTTTCTTTTCCAGTCTTTCTTTTTTAAATCCACTTTTCCTGCCTTTTCTCTCTTTCTCCCCTCCTCGCGTGTCTTGTAAGAATCCTTCACTGTTCACTTAAGAGGTACAAGTAGAGAAGGGCACAATAAAATACGTGAGAGAAGGCAAATGACTGGACTTTGCTTGTGAGACCCTTTAATTCAAATTCTATATTGGAGAGGGTGAAGCATGTATAGTATTTGTCATATAAAATGTTTCATACTACTACAGAGCTGGAAAACTAAAGTATTTGAGTATTACAGTAATTTCAAGTCTATTTCTCAAAAGTAACATGGTACTTCAGAACTTTGTCTCAAGCAACTATCTTCTATTTTTGTTGCTTGTTGCCTCTTTGAAATGGATGTGTGTAAAGGCAAGAGTAAGGCTGCTCAAGAACACCTTATGTTTTTTCAAGTCAATGTAGTAATTCATTTCAGTAGTGGCACTTGTCCACATGTTTACTGTTTATGAGCTAAAATTTTTTCTTGCATGCAGGCTGCAAATTGGGAGAAGCCTCTGATTTTATTGTCAGACAAGGTACACTTATCCAAGTTCCATCCTCAGCTGGTGATGTTGGCTGTTACAAGATTTGTACCTGTGGGCACAGTGGCTTGCTGGAGAACTGTATGGAAATGCGTTGTGTTGACCTCCAGAAATCATGCATTGTTGGAGGACAAAGGAAAAGTAAGTAATAGAGCAGTGAGGCATCCAGCACCTGCTCCTTACCTAAGGAATTTTGAACTACGTGAGAAGACACAGAGGATCTGAATTCAGAGTTGATCAGAAAATACAGAAACTGATGATTGCATCCCTCTATTTCCTACTGGGTTAAGTCTTATATATGCTGGAGGGTTACACTGTTGAAATCAGTACTGAACTGTGCCTGTCTCAGTCAGTCACAGAAGGGTGTTCTCAGTACACCATTTCTTTTTAGCATGGGATGGTTTCTTTACTAGCTCCAAATGGTTGGTGAGGGGTTGTTTTGGATTTGTTGGGATTTTTTTCTTCCTTCCAGTGGCTTGTGGCATCTGGACCCATGAATTCCCAAGGTTTGTGTTTCCACTCCAGTGGCTGGCACAAAGACCCCTTTCCCTACTTACCGATTCATTCACCTTAAGGTTTGTTAGTACTCCTGCACAGAGTAGGAAGCACACATCATAGAAGTGTAAAAATAGGATTGGATAAAAGTATAGGATAGGTTGTGGTGATCAAATGTAGGGTTTAGTGAGAAGGGCATACTGTCCAGCTACCTGTCTACATTGAACCATTCCCTTTTTCCCCTCTTCCCTTTGCTTTCCCACACATCTTCCTGCTTGATTCATCTTAATTCCTCCTTTTCCTTTTCTTTGGCTCTTCCACTAAACATCCCCTAATAAGTTTTGCACAATCTCAACGTTAAATAAGAACTATAGTTTAAGATATTTATCCATGGGGCTAACATATGCCTAAAAATAAACGTGTAAGCAAATACATGATGATGATGATGAAGGTGTATTGAACACTGGTTTTTTAAAGTCTTCCTCACCATGGCAGCTCCCTGTTTAGAGTTTAAATTGGCTTGGGTAACAAGGATTTATTGGGTTCCACCTAATCTGACTGTCAAAGAAGTTCAAGGAAATGTGACAGGTGATGCTTCTTAGAAGATTATATTGATTTATTTTCAGATTTACTCTTTGCTTGAGACCTTTAAATGTGTGTTTTTGTCATGCAAACTGGCATTATAATCTTGGAAAAAGAAAACCGAAAAAATAGCTTCTACTAAGGTAGGGGAAAACTTATGAAAGGTCTTGGATATAAAGTGGAGTCTGTGCTGAGCTGTGACCTGTCTGAAGCTGGTGTCTTAAAATCAGCAAGCAAGAAATATTCTGCTAGTGAACAGTTACCTATCTCAGCACGGCATATTGTTTAGTGTCTGTAAATCAGCCCTTTTAAGCTACTGTCAGACTGTTGTCCAAGCGGAGCTAAAGCAAGGTAAACATAGCTCATGAGTCCAAAATAACTGAGGTTTCTTTTTACCATGTGATATTTTTATTTTTTTTTTACCATGTGATAGTTATTTTCACACTAATTAAGAGTTAAGAAGCAAGGCACTTGCTGTAGTTTCATATGTCACAAACATAATTTTCAAATTGGGAACCAAACCCCAATTCTTGAAAGAGCAGGAAATTGGGATATTATTTTCATCGCTCAGAAAAGTCTGCCTGCAGTATTCCAGGGAACAGAATGGGGGATTTTGGAATCTGGTTTTTTGTTGTTGTTTGTCCAAAGAAGATAAAAGGCAGCCAAACACACTTAAAACTTTTCTTTTGGGTTTTGGTTTGTTTTGGGTTTTTTTTCAGAGTTGGTACTATTTGTTCATGGAAGCAGAACAATGAAAACATCTTAACATTAATATATTTGATCTATTTTTGTAGAAAATATCTGGTGAAAGTGGATGCTTTTAAGATACGGTTGTTAACAAATGCAGTTTTTAAATGACTGTAACTTTTTATGGACCATTCTATCCAAGGAAACTTGCAGTTTTTCAGATTATTGGTGAAAATAGTCACAAAGATGTTTGATGCTGTACTTGTATTTTATGGTTGTACAGCTCTTGTTCTGGGAACCATAATATGTGTAGCTGTAGGTATTCAGTAAGTGCTGTCCATTTAAATACAAACAAACAAACTACCACAACCCCAAACCAGCTTCCACAACCCCAAAGACAGCTTCCTCTATTGCCATAGTGACTTACAAAGCGTTTGTGGTGATTAAGACTCTAGGTATTATGTAATAAAAAATAAAAATTACTAGGTTCCAAATTGGTTAGATGATGCATTGAAAGCAAAGAATTTAAAGTTTATGGTCACCATGTAAATATTTTACAGTAACTATATTTCAGATGTCAGTTGTAAAGAGGGAGGGTTTAGACAGAACATCTGAACTGGGTTTTCTAAAACCATTCTCTATAAAGAAAACAACTTTGAATGTTTTGAATGATGCAGGGGGTTTTTGTGTTGTGAGTTGACTCCGGCTGATTAAATGATTACTGATGAGGACAGGCTGCTGTGTGCACTCTTTGGCAGTGAAAGACAATAGCCCTGCACAGTTTTCAGGTGCATCCTAAGTCAGGTACTCTGAAGAATCACCTGAGATCCTGTGTTTGGCATTACCTTCTAGGCTTTTCTTCCATGCTGGCAAATTCTTTGCTCCTTTGAGTAGTACTGTGGTGTAAAGAGAGCTTTTTGTGCTACAGAGGCTTTCTCTCCCACCCCCTCTTGTTCTGCCCTCATTTGTCTCTGAGCACCTCTTCTGAATTGCTCCAGTGCTGAGGGGTTTCTTTGTGCCTGTGCAATATTTTATTAAACATTCTAATTCTCAATCTCGATCCTTTGAAGAGATGAGAGGGAATTACCTTATTTTGTAAGGTAATTACTATTATGTTTTCCTCAAGAGCTGTATACCTTTTGTTAGTTTTTGATAACCAGTTTGGTTATGGATAGATCAGAGTCTGTCATCAACATGAATTGATTTGATACAAAACATACATCACAGTGAAGGGCAGTCATGTGGGCAGTTCAGAAAACCGAACTGGAGTTGCTAAATTGAAGAAAAATCCTCTAAGTTTGCAGTTTGATTCTTAGATTCAGGTGTGAAAACAGTGCTGACTTATAAAATACCAATTAAAGTTCCAATCCAATGAAGGCTGGAATGAAGCATTGGCACTTTTACCTCTTGACAAGCACATAGAAGTTGTGCTTTATGTGTGAGACTAAAAGTTTACAAGGCTTATGTAAATTTAGTTTAGAAGAATGTGTCTTTACAAAAGCTTTACCTTTAAGAAAACATGAAACTTGCTAGCCAAAATTTATTGTTCTTAAAAAAAAAGCCAAACAAACCTAATTTATAGAGGCTTTGAAAGGACTAAGTGCTTGCTTCTGTGGTTAACTAATTAATCAAAACCACATGTGAACAGACTTTTCCTGTAAGTGAATAAAGCAAAACTTGAAATATATTGAAAAAAAAGGATGGAAATTTCACTGGGAAAATATACTGAAAAGGGAATTTACAGAAACAATTAATGAGACTGTAATATCTATGTAGTTCACATGAATGTGTAGCCTTTGGGTGTATTTGCATTAATTGTATGTATTTACTTAATTTATTTGAAGGCCATGGAGCGTCCTTTAATATAGATTGCAATGTCTGTTCCTGTTTTGCTGGAAACTTGATTTGTTCCACACGTCAGTGTCTAACTGAGCACAGCTCAGAGGATGAACGCCGGAAGTTTACAGGTAACTTTCCAAACCATGAAAACTCTTGAGTATTTTTAGAGCAGGAATTACCAACTAAATTTTTTCTGCAGTGTTAATGGAAAGCACATCTGTTAATTTGATAATTTGTTATTACTATGTTTTTTTAACTGGTTTTTTTTTTTTTTTCTCATGTCCAACCTGCACATACAACCTGCAGGAAGAGCACATACTTTTAAAAAATCAATATTGAAAAATAAAACCTCAAGTAATGCATAAAAATAAGTAGAGACAGAGTGCACTAGGGACGAGAGATAAGGAGTTTAGGGAGAACATGGAGAAAACTGAGTAGAATGAGCAAAGAGGCAAGACAAAAACTTCCCTTCCTCCTCCTTGTGCTCCAGCATGGCAGGTGGGAGAAAGGGCTGAAGGCAGAGATGCCTCAGTGCCACCTTTTATATCTTGTGTTGTGGAAAATGAGTGTGCACGCAGTCCCTGCTCTGTGTGTTGCTCTTGCAGGTTTGCCCTGTAACTGTGTGGACCAGTTTGTCCCAGTCTGTGGCCAGAATGGGCGCACGTATCCCAGTGCGTGCATAGCTCGCTGCGTTGGGCTCCAGGACAACCAGTTTGAATTTGGATCGTGTATTTCCAAGGATCCTTGCAACCCAAACCCTTGTAATAAAAATCAAAGGTAAAAGCAGAATATGTTTTTCAGCCTTTCTTTGGCTTCATCCACTCATAAAGCAGATTTACGTGTTCTTTGAATGTGTTGTATATTGTAACATTCTACTTTGGGGCTATTCCAATAAAACTGTTTGAAGTAGTTGCTTTTTCTTTATCATAGTTAGTAATATTGGACTGTAATAGCTGCCAGTTCTTGGTTCCAGTTTTGTAGTGCTATGTCAATTAAATTCATTATGCAGGTCTCAGTTTAGCAATAAAGGAGACTTCACATACACTTTCAAAAGTGGGAGAATCAGATTTTGTCCAAATGGCAATAACTGTCATTTTACTACTTTGTTTCACACCATTTGCTAGTTTACAAAGAAGATCCACATCTGAATTCAAGACTTGGAGTCAGTCTTGCTTATTCCATCAGTAATCTATGCTTTTTGCCTCTAAAATAGGAAAATATCAATCACCCTTTTTTTTCTTAGACTGAAATCTTGTGAAAACTATGTCTGTACAAATCTTTGGTTTTTCAATATCAAGAAAAGCAAAATCTTCATAGGCAAATGTATTAAAACAAAAATATGCTTTGTACTAGTGTCAGGAAAAAAAAAGTCTGACCTTTCTTACAGAGATCAAAGTCTGTGGCTCACAATATTGGTCTCTGTCTTCAATTTTCCCAGTGTTGTGCAATATTGCAGTCTCCTTTGAGTTAGTGCATTTTTCTGTTTTGAAAGAAAGCCATCAAAATAAGTTGTGTAATATTGTGCTTTCATGAAAGCTGATTGTAGCAGTTTTAGGGTTTTTTCCTTTTTCTGCACTTAAAATGCCATGATGCAGAAAAATAGTGAGAAAACACTGTAGTTTTGTAGCTGTTACAGCCATAATGGCATTCAAAATTGGAATTTCAAACCTGCAATGGGGATAAACATTTTTTACTTTTTATGTTTGAAATTTGGACAGTTTGAAATTTGGAGAGTACATAGAGGCTTTCCATTTTTTCAAAATACCATTATGCTTAGAACCCCAACTTGTAGTTTCACTAAAGGACTGTACACAGTACATTTTTCTGGATCAGTTTGATAATGTAGCTCAAACTGAACATGCTCATCTGAAAATGCCCCTGATGCACTTGGAATGTATTTAGGATCTTACATTCCACTTGTGAAGTGTTTAAATCTCAGAATTTCCAAGCCTTCCCTAATACCAAAGGCGTGTCTGTAATGCATGGGAGTGCAGCACTCAGAGAGAATACAGATATTTGTGCATGATGCAGTGGTGGCAGCACTGCTGTAATTTATGGAAGGAGGGGGTTGTCCAGAGAGGCCATGAGACCTTTCATCAGCCTCCTCAGTCTGGCATTGGCTGGCATTCCTCTAGCAGAGGGATGCCTTGCAGGGCCTATGCCAAATGTTTTGCAGATAAGATCATGGAAGGTACATGTTTAATACAAAGGGGAAAGAAATTGTGCTATTTTTCTGTCTGCACTTGTCTGTGAAGGCTACAGAGGAATGGATGCCAAGAAAGTGTAAATATGGGATTTTTCTGTTTGTTTGCAGTCATCCTCTAGGTGAGATACTGTACAATATCGCAAACCTCCAAAGCTAGAATCAAATTAGATATTTGTAATTGAACCATATAATCTTGTAGGTCTTGTTTTCACCCCTTTCTCAGAGAAGGGAGAGACTAGACCTCTGCAGTACAATTTTTTCTTCTTGCTGTTTCCATGTTTTCTCTAGCCTAGCTGTTTTTAATTATTCATTTACAAAATGAAGTATGGGAGTGGGTAAGAAGTTTATCCAAGCCTTTGTGCATAATCCATTGAAAAATACTTGGTAAAAGATAAATGTTTGTGGAAACTGCAGTTGTGTTGACATACATTGAGCAAACATGATGTGAAACTCTTCCAGGTTTGTTTCAGGATGAGACCTGAAAAGGGCTATTCAGAGTGTTCTATCACTTGCATTTCCTGCCGCTCTGCTGAATCAGTTAGTTTTAAAGCACTGGAGAAAATTTCACTGAAAATATTTTCTCTCAGTTTTTGAGACTTAAAAACACAATAATCCCATGACATGACATGAAATTATTATGACTTTCCACAGGTGCATACCAAAGAAACAAGTTTGCTTGACCAGTTTTGAGAAGTTTGAATGCAGCCAGCATGAATGTGTGCCAAGGCAGTTAAATTGTGACCAGACACGGGATCCTGTTTGTGACACAGACAATGTGGAATACACTAACTTGTGTACTTTGTACCAAAAAGGAAAAAGTTTGGCATACCGAGGACCATGCCAGGTAGGAAGTGGTTCTGGCAATAATTATCAAATCTTCTTTGTTCCTTGGTGTTCAACTTAACTATTTTTATTTTTGTTTTTCTACATATTGTTTGGTTTTTTGGGTTTTGTTTAAGTAGTCTTTTTGGGGTTTATAGCTTATAAAATGTTCTAATAAAAAGTAGTAATCTAAAATCTTATTTTTAACTAGTATAAAAATAATCTCACAATCTTCAGAATTTTGTCAAGTGTTTCTCTGCTTTAGTTAACAGTTATCTCAAAGCCAATCAAAAGCTCTACTTATGCTTTCTTGGGGGTAATACTCATGATATTTATATCTTCCTGTATATACTATTAAAGCTTACACACTAAGGTGTGTTTACAGTAATTAGTGCAATTCCTTGGTTACTTAAATGTTAATTCTTACCAATTTTAACTTGTTGAAATATATAACAACGCTCAGTCATACAAAGTCTTTAGCTTTTTGTGTGATTGTGCCCCAGGTTTACTAAGTTCATTGCTCAGGATCTATTTACATCCTAGGCAGTCTGTAATAACTTTCTACTTAGTCTGCATTCGATTAGTCTTCATATTAATCCTTGAGAAGGATTAAAATTAGGTTTAGTTTTTGCATCCCACCACTCTCTATGGTGGTGTTAGACAAGGTGGTTGTGTCACCTTACAATAACACATACACAAATATAAGTAATATAGGCAAATAAATTATATATAAAAACATATAACAACGTGTTAGAAACACATGTACGCGCACACTAAATTTTAAGCACACAAAGCCACACTAAGATGAATTGATAAATTACTAAAGAGTTGTTTAAAAATTATTTTTATTAATAGAATATTTTAAGGTATAGTGAAATTGTAATTATTTTAATTGCTTTAATAAGTTAATTTAAATATGGTCATTTTATTTAAGCATTGCACAGAACAAAAGTTCCTAGTTTCTGAAATATTGTGCATTTCTCAGACTCTGTCACCTTATTGTAGCACTTACCCTTTTCATTTACGGTCCATTCATAAACTGGCAGGTTGTTTCCTCTGGATTTCCTGCCTTTACAAAGGTTTGACAATAGTAGCAGTGAATTCCCATTCCCTTTGCCTTTCCTTGTGTTGAAGCTACCGAGCAGTTTGTGCAGCAGGGCCGAGCTGGCGCTGCAGGCGTTGCTGTGTGTTCCAGCCCTTCTGCAGGTCACTGGAGCCCGTGTGCGGGCACAACGGGGAGACCTACAGCAGCGTCTGCGCCGCCTACGCCGACCGCGTGGCCGTGGACTACCAGGGGCGCTGCCAGGCCGTGGGCGCGCTCTCCGACTACGGCTTCCACTCCGAGTGCGCCTTCGTCAGGTGTCCCCAGCTCTCTGCCACCGGCTGCAAACCCGTCCTTGCGCCAGGTGGGCCGGGCACAGCAGGGAGGGGAGAGTTCTCCGGGCTCTGGGGATAAAGAGGGTGATGCTTGGAATAAAACGCAGGCTTTAACAGGTTGTATGAACAGAAAGCGTAAAGCAATGCCTCTGCTTAGGGCTAGAACCAGCCAGTATCAGGACTCAGATAAGTAAACCTGAATTGGAAAGGCATTGGCTTTAGGGGGATGCTCCTGCAGTCTCTTAGAGACTGGCAGCTGGGATGAGTTTGGGAGAAACAAATGAGCTCTGTGGTGTCCAGGGTACAATGCTTTTAGGAATCTGGTGAGTAATTTTTCGGAAGTGGCAGCACAGATACCACATTGGAATGCTGAGCTGTCATCAGCATCGGGTTCCCAGAAGGGCAAAGATGGTATTTAGTTAGGAGACAGAGTAAAATACCATATGTATTCACAGTACTGTGGAAGATTGCAGTGTGCTGGTTTGAACCAGTTTTATATTGTTTCCACAAGTGCTTCCTTTATGAAACAACAACTAATCACAGGTAATACACAGAGCAAGAAAAGCTCTGTTCTTAAAATGAAAGTTTTATTTATTTTTCTCCTTTCTCACCCCCTTTGAAAAAGGTCTTCATGCTTTGTAATAACATTTAGTACTGTAAATGTCACTCTGTGAATGTGAATTACATGTAAGGTGGTGAGTGGATTTAATACACAGCCATGGATAGAAAGTTGAAATATTATCCCTTTGGTTTCTGACATGGTAAGGAAAAACAGTAGGAGAAATACGTCTGTCAGACAAGCACTTTTTCTCCCTTGTTGTTTAAAGGTTTTACTCTCCAACATGGTGTAACTGCAGAAATTAATGCTTGCAATGTGCATAAAACTTCTGTCATGTCCTAGCTATATCAGCTCTTGAAATCCATCATTTCTGTAGGTGATATGCATGCATCCATACAAAATCTTGTGGTACACACAGTGCCTCCAGTTTTTAGCTTACAATAATGAAGCATCTTAAAAAGAATGAAAATTCATCTTGTTGTTTCATGCTGATAGAAGCAAAAGTGTGTTGAAAGGTGACAGATATTGCATTATAAATATTTTCAATACTAAAAAAATATTAGAAATGTGCAATGCTGCTGTCAAATTGAAACATTTACTTTGCTTTGGTAATTTTGCTATTTTTGTGCTTAGTTAATATTCAAATTTTGACTCTTGCTTACTTAAAAGTGAAAAGACTACTGTTTTTATTACTGAGATTTCTTTAATTCACACAGGAGCCTGCTGTCCACTGTGTGCTGGAATGCTGAGAATCTTATATGACAAAGACAAGCTGGATAATTTTGCAAGGGTAAACAGTTCAGTCATGCCTATTGTTAAATGGTATATGAAAAGTCAAGTTACAGTGCACTTCCTCTTGAAAGGTTAACATGTTATAAAAACCATTATTTTTTAGTTGTTATTTGTGATTGTTGGGGTTTTTTTTTCCTTGTACTGCTTATACTTTCCTTTATTTATTTATCTGAGTTATAAATTGAATTACAATGCAAAGCAAAACAGAATTAGAGTAGGCACAAACAAGCAGACTCAGGTTCATAGTTTGTAATACTGCAATTTGCAGTTTTTGACTTGTAATAATGCAGACAAATTATATGGGAACAGCCTCTATGGTTCTACTGCTTTCCTGACAGAGATAGATTTTGTGTTTGTACGTGCTGTGTATGTGTGTTGACCAGTTTTGCTGAATAACAGTATCTGTTGTGTCATGACTGCATCCTGGAGTGTTGTCCAGTTGTCATCTCTAATGGTACAAGGGACACAGTGGCTACTGCAGCTTCTCAGTTCATACATTACAACATGTGACCCTGAAGAATTTTTAGTTTCTGTTAGGAGAAGACTTTCTAGTTAAAGAAATGTATTGGTCTTATTCAAGTAGTTGGTGATAACCACCCTCACCTACTAAGCACCGTAATACCTGGATTGTAATGTCTGCCTCTTTTAGTTCAGACTGCTGGTTCATGTGAGAAAAAAACTGCTTCAAATACTACAGAGTTCTATAAATCTAGGGCTGCTCTGCCTCTTGTTTTCCAGTGTGGGAGCAAAAAACCACTGTAACAGATAACCAGTTACATTATTTTGAGGTATGTGATAGATAGACACACTAACTATGAAAGTGGACAACAATACATATCAAAACCACACTTAATATAAGAAGTAAATATTTTTCCTCTTTCTTTCTTTCCTTCAATTTTTTTTTTCATTTTGGAGGGGTTGGTTTTCAGGTTTTTTTAGAATCAGTGACTCATTTCTTAGAATGATACTTAGAAGCATTGAATCCTTTAGGTCTTTTGCTAGCTTTTAGAGTAGAGTTTGGAACTGAGTAGTTTCATGGCTGAAACACATTTTCTGGCATGACAATGTTATAAAACTGAGGAGGAGAATTTTCCATAATATCACATCATCCACAGAGTTCTTTGTTTTCCTCCAGGTAACAGATAAAAAGCCGATAACGGTACTTGACATACTTGAAAAAATCCGCCTGCATGTGTCAGTGCCACAGTGTGATGTGTTTGGATACTTAAGCATAGAATCTGAAATTGTGATTCTCATCATTCCTGTGGATCAGAATCCCAAACCATTGCAGGTAAATGATGTTATTATTTTATATACCCAGCATTAATTTGCTTCACTTTTGTACGTGTAGGGTGGTGCTTGTTTCTCAGATACGTTGTGTGTCATTTGATTGCTCATGCCCTGTTATGTCCAACTCAACTCCAACTTCTGTCTCCTTCTCTAGCAGAAATAGCCCAAAATGTTACCAGGACTTAGGAAGGAAAGTCTTGCCAGCCTGGTCAGCTCTTACTCCATCTGCAGCCGGTGCTGTCAGATTCCTGGGGGGAGGAGGACTCCAAAATCAGAGGCCACCCCTGCTTACCTCATTGGTGGCACACATTGCTGAGCTAGACACTCCTCAACTTTCAAAGCTTTGGACCTCCAGACATTAAGCTTGTCAAGTTTAAACTTCACCAGAGGCATCTTCCAATGCTTTTAAAGAGACTTATTACTAACTTCCTTTCTAGGGTGCAGTAGAAAATAAGTGGAAAAAATTAATTTCCTAACAGAAATTAATTAATATCATCATCATCAATATCATCAGCAGTGGGGGAGTGGAAACCTGTGATTTCCCAGGTTCTGTTATTTCCATTCTTTTCTCCCTTTCCCATAAACAAAATCAGTTATCTCTCATTTGGAAGAAAAATTGGGAGAAAATTGGGTTTTTCCACCATTGCAGACTTCAAGGAAGTACGTTGGTCAGTCAGGAAGGAAGTCCTCAGATTTAGAGGAACTTTCTTTAGTGATAATTCACTGTGGGCTTTTTTGCATCAACATTCAAAATGTATGACCCCACACTAACTTGTATATAGCTTCCTTCCTTTCCCTTGTCTACTGTTCAAGGCTTCTGGAGTTTTCATAGTACCAAAGTCTATTATGAGACCTCTGATCTGTTTTCCAAGTACTCCCCAAAATTATATAATCTTATGTGCTGATGGGAATATTTTTGCATTTTTTTACATGGTAAGAAGAGAAACAGTAACTTTTTTTTCCCTCTAGATTGAAGCCTGCAATAAAGAGGCAGAAAAGATCGAGTCTCTGATCAATTCGGACAGCCCAACACTAGCATCACACGTGCCACTGTCAGCTCTAATTGCATCTCAAGTACAAGTTTCATTTAGCGTTTCTTCTTCTTCTGCTCAAGTGGTGCCTGCTCTGCACTCCCTGTTCATAAGCCTTCTATTCACCTTGTCATCAGCATTGAGATACTGCATATAACTGCTTGGGAAATGTGCACGAGCATTGTGGCATTCATGTTGTGAAGGACATTTGGAGTTGTTGATCACTGAACTAGAAAACAAAAAACCTGCAAGATTTGAACTTGCATTTTTCAATGAAGGACTAAAAGTATTTGAATAATGTGAAAAGATTATTCTCTTATTCATAACTAGTCAGATGACTGTTTCAGCACAATCAGATTGTTTTCCATGGATCTTGGAAACATAAATATGCTCTGGAAGGTTCTGACATTATGGATTTATGATTTTGAGGAGAAGGGATCTTATGGGGTTTTTTCAGCCGTGAACTAAACAGTGTTTTGAGTTTACTGAAGAATGCTAATTTTATATTATTCAGATGCATATCAAAGAAAGCATGCACCTATTTTAAACATCATTTTTGGAAGAAACAGATTGCTGCTACTTGATTACCTTACCAAAAATTTAAGAGTTTATTCTCATGTAAATATGCTTTCATATTTTATTATGAAGAAAACAAACTAGCCCTGGGCCTATTTCAGTAGACATCTTTCCTTGGACTAGTGAAGACTTGCAGGACTTTTGGCTCACTGCTTGTAAAATGACAATCAAGCTCTATGCTAGTACCTGACTTCAGTGAAGAGATGTGTTCTTTTTATAGTTTTGTACATTTCAGAATCTCATATTGGATGCAAAATATAAAGAATCTCAGTATCTATATTTAAGTGCCATTTAAAATATTGCGGTATTTGCATGTTATCTAATGAAATTTATACTTTAAATGTTTATACAAACAGTATGTTTTATTACTTATTATATTTTATGCACCTGACTTTACATGAAGTATTTTATATCAGTATTATGATAGCCAAGTTTTGAAGTATATACAGAAAAACTTATTTTTGCCAAAATGCTGAACTTTGAAAGAAAGCACTGAAAACTTTTTTGAACATGTATGTTGCAGCATGTTTGTAGCAATTATTTTCTGCTGAATCTTTTAAATGCAAAAGCATTAAAGCTTTTTATTTTAATAAACACTTGTGTCTTGTGTCCTTGTGTAGAATGTGTGTAATTTTATGGATTCAGCAACACTGCATATATTTTCCTGTCTCTCTCAAAATAAGCACTTAAAACTAACTGCACTTACATACATGCATGACTCACACAGATAATGTTCCCAAATAGATATCAAGAGGGTCTCAAGGGTGAAAGTGTTCCAAAATACCTTAAGGTATTTTGGATCAGAAGTGTTGCCAAATACCTTGAGGAAGACTCATGCACATAATCATCCAAGTCTTGAAACAAAAAACTTGAGTATGTTGATAATCCATCTGTTTCTGAAATTTGTTATGTGTATTCTTTAGACTTGGACACAGAAATAGAATGGATGCATTTTTGAAAAGCTTTTTCAACTGAAATGGCTCAGATGATAGCCCCAGAAACTTCAAACAATTCAGATTGTTTTTTCCAAATCATTAGCAAATATCTCTTCAATATGTAGTTTCTTTTCTTAGTTTGACTAGAATTTAGCTGAAGTAAATATGATGCCTACTAAAAAAGGAATCATAAATGTCTTAAGAAAAAAAATTATATATACACACACATACATGTGTGTTTATGTATGTATATATACATCTATATATTTATATGCACCGCACTGGAAAACTTAGTAAAGAGCTTTAAAAGCACACTTTTGGTGGAATAGAATAGACAGTGACCTTACTTTTATATGTCTGTGAAAATTTTCTTTGTTGAGAAATTATAACAAAAAAGAAAGTTGCCTTAATTTGTGTGATGAATCTAGGAGAAGCAGAATTTAAGCCCAGAGATTGTGATTCTGATTTACATGTCCCTGTCCATTGCTTGCTAGAAAAGAGTGAAGCTTTTGCAAGGTTAAATATGTACAGAACCAATGAGGTTTCATAGAATCCTAAATTCTGAAGCAGAAGTCCAGCATTCAGACTGTACAGGGTTTATGCTCTTTTTTCTGGATGAACAAAAGCACTTAAGTATTTCCTAGGTTTTCTCAAGACCTTGGACTACCTCAAAAGAATGAAGAAACTGTTTACTCATGGGTTTTGAATTCAGTTGAACTGGGATAAAAAATAGAAGAAACCAAACCCAGTCTTAATTGCAGCTTAGGAAATTTGAACCTGAGGGGGGACAAATCTGATGCAGGTTTCAGAGGAGTTTTCCATAAAGGTGCTAATGATCTTCTGTCCCCATCTGTGTGGAAATCTGGGTTCACTTAAAAGGAATGGAGACAGCACAAGGGCACTTCAAAGGAGCACAAGCCTGTTGCTTTTATAACAGGACCCAGATGAAACACTTAGAAAACATTATTTGTTCCTCTGCTGAAAACCAGCAATGGCAATAACTGGCTCCAGAGAGATGTCACCGTCCTCTTGTAGCTGGCTTAGTTTGGCTCTCCCAGCAGGAAGCGGAGATGCCAGAGGTGCCACTTTGTACACCCTCAGGAGAGGATCAGCCACAGGGACAAATACCAAAGCAAGTAAAAGCAAGAGATTTCTGGCCGAGTTCTGAGTCCAGCAGGAGCTGGCATCTGAATTTTGGAAGTAAGGAACAGTTGTGAGCAGGCACAAAATCACACCTGGAACTGCAGTGTCGTCTCACAGCCCTGCTCCTCTCCCTTGCTCTGCTTTTATGGAGCTTTACCCACTGTCATCACTTGGAGATTTGCACGCGTGTCTCAGTTCAAAGGTTAAATGCTATTTATACATCTCTACTGAGTTTGTGACACTTCTCCAGCTCTTCCTTTTACACATAACAAAGGATATTTCAAAACTTTTCCCCACCATCTCTAGTCTTAGGAAGCCCTGGGAGCATTTACATGAGCAAATACATGAATGCTCTGTGAGACTGTGGCCTGTTTCATATTTGAAGTCTGGACTGGAAAGTGACCCTACAGTCAAGTAAATCCCAAAAAGTAACAATCAGGGGAAAAAAAGATTTCTCTGGCAGGGTTGTGCAAGACCTGATTGCAACCTCCTGCAAGTTCTTTGAACATCAATTGCCTAAAACCTTTCTTAATTTTAATGGACTTTGTACATGCACTGCTTAATGGAAAAAACGTGGGAGCATTTCATCTCAATGTTAAGACCTTTTTCTACAGTGATAACAACAAATCCCTGGAATAAACTCTCCAGGGACATGGTGGAGTCCCCCCAGCTGGAAGTTTTCAAGATACAACTGGACATGGTGCTAAATGAACCAAAAGGTTTGACCAGATGATCTTCTGAGGCAACAGTGAAATATCTAAGTAAAAGCTCTTGTAAAAGGGTTTTTTTTTTTTTGCCTTTTAGTTCCTAGGACATAAAGGAAAATAAAAAATAAAGGACAGCCTTCCCTGAAGATGCAATAGTTCCTGAAATAGTGCAGTAACCCTACCATTACTTACATAAAGAAAGCTTATTAATCTTAAATTTTTCAATAGATTATCATACATGAGAACAATTCTATGTACAGCTGTATACATATAACAGATCTGTGAACCTATAAATGACTTTCAAACTTGCATTAACAAATTATTAGAGTTAACAGAATTAATTTCTGTCCTTTCTAAAAACTGAATAAATCTATTTTTCCCCCCAGAGTATCTTCTGATTTGCCTTCCTCAAAGCTGGATTCTGCTTCATTTGGCCAGGTCCAGTAAGGAGAGTAACCTGAGCCAAAGGGTGTTGATGCCTCTGTAATTCTGACACGCCTTCATAATTCCATAGCTTCTTGCTGTAAAGAGCCACCCCTGTGTTTTTTGCAAATGCCTTCTGTTGTGCTTGGCAAGGTTTCTCAATTTGCCTCTTTGCGCTCAGTTCTCAGCATGAGCTGCAATATATACAAAGGTCTACAATCTGTTTTATCCAGTTCTGACTCTACCTCTAAGCCAGCATTCCTCTGCAGCACTGCTGAATAGTCCTAGGGGTTAAAGGATTCAATCATTGGGTTATGATATAGAGCAGAACAGAAGTTCTCACCAGTGCTAATGTGGCAGGTTTCAAATTAAAGCCTGCTCTTCAGCTTGGTGTTCTGCACTGTTCGCTGGTAGTAGAAGAAGTGGATGGGTTGTTACTACTGCTTGGTGTATAAATTTACTTTTTAGCCATCTTTTAAGCTGCAGCAGCAGGATCAACATTCAGTAAATAAAGATATATTCATATGCACATATATGCTCATGTACACACAAATATACATATATATATGCATATAAATATATTTATATCACAGTGCTCTGTATCAGGTTCCATATCAGCCTCTTCAGGAAGAGCACATTTGGCCATTGTAGAGAATTTAGCAATTTATTTTGGTAAAGAACAAAAAACGAGGGGTTAATACTTTTAAGTTTGAATTTCAAATACAAATGGCAATCAAAGATGCAGGATCACACTGACTTATTACCTAATTTATACACGATGTTGTCTGGCTATAAGATAACTTTGGATGGTTTCATTCTCAAGTGCATCCATCTGCAGCAGTTCATTTTCCTCTGATGTTTGCACTCTGGTCCTTCCTGCTCAGAGCAGTAAGAACAGCTTCCAAGGGGAATTGCTGGCATCGGTCAGGAGCAGCCATCGGGCCCCAACCGCTGCATCATGTTCGGGCCTCTGGCATAACAAAGTAAGTTTAAATATTTGCAGCCATTAACTCCATGCAGCAACTGAGCTGCTGTCAGCAAGACTGTGGCTGTGTTGTCATTATCAGTGGCTGTGGGCACCACCAGCTTCATCCAGATCAGAAGCAGGGACACGCCTGAGCCAGAAACCAAGATACAACAAGCAGCCTGTCCAGCTTCCATGCTGGAAAACAAATGCTGTCACACACACACATTCCCTACATTCCCTGTGCATGCGCTGAACATGGCAGGTCGTGCATTTTGCTTCTTTAACAGGCTTGAAGTGGCAATGTAAACTCTGGATCAGCATCTCGTGGCTGCAGTGCTTTCTGCTCATATCCATAGTGCAGGATTTACTGTGTTCCTGCACCACAGCTTTAAGACCTCACTCAAGGCCCAGATGAGTCAAAGGAGATGTGAAAAATGCAAATACACATTTCTAAAGTAGAAAAAATTAAATCTATCTTATTTACCCTTCTGGCTTTAGGTTTCAACAGGAGAAACTGTACAGGCAGAAAGAGTCAGAGGAATGAAACCATGTAACAGAATGCTCATCATAGGGACTAGAAGAGAGATGGAAACTACTATTTTCACCCATATGTGATGCAGTAAGAATGTACCATCACAAACAACCTCAACACAGACTTCTCACCCTGCTCTGGGAGATGGCACAGCCAGGCAGTGCTGGTCAGTTACCACAGCTTAGGAACAGAGCAAGTGGTGGCCTGTGAAGGAGAGCTGAGTTACCCACAGTCGAGATTGTAACAACAGTGATGTGTGGAACTGAGATGTATTTCATTATTCTGAGAGGTTTTTTAGTCAAGTTTAAGCACACTCAAAAATATGCAAAGGCTTGATTACAATCCGGTAACAGCATCTGTTATGTTCATGTGGAGAAGTTTCTCTTGGCAACTGTTTAAAAAACTTCAGAGGCAAACATGGGTGTGAGCAAGGGCCAGAACCTTGGAAATGCTCTTTGAACTTTTCACTCATTGTTGCTGCATCAAGGGTGTGTGCGGCACAGAAACACAGACTGTTAACCATTACTGTGGCCCTTCTTGCTGTGATTCATGACCCATGATCCATAACACCTTGAGTTCATTTTCTGTTACGTACTCAGAAGCAGCACACTCACACTGAACGAGTAAATAAATAACAAACACACACAATTATAAGCACATCACTGTTAACATGACTGCACCACACTCTGTAATAAAAAAATTTTTCAGTCCTTGTTCTCAGTCCCAAGTTTCCCACACTGAATAGTTCACCCAAGTTTCCTGTGTACAGCAGTGCTGTCCATCAGCCATGAACTGTTCCAGGTGAAGAAAAAGACATTGGCAGTGTGGATGTAGCAACTGTGCCATCCTTTGATGCTCTGATCTTTAACAGCAGAGAAGCTTCCTAC